CCCCCCCCCTCCCCTTCTCAATTCCTCCATTCCTCAGTGTGTGTCTGTGGGTCCCTGTGTGAGTCTGTGGGTCTCTGTGTGAGTCTATGGGTCTCAGTGTGAGTCTGTGGGTCACTGTGTGAGTCTATGGATCTTAGTGTGAGGATGTGGGTCTCTGTGTGAGTCTATGGGTCTCTGTGTGAATCTGTGGGTCTCTGTGTGAGTCTATGGGTCTCTGTGTGAGTCTGTGGGTCACTGTGTGAGTCTATTGGACTCAGTGTGAGTCTGTGGGTCCCTGTGTGAGTCTATGGATCTCTGTGTGAGTCTGTGGGCCCCTGTGTGAGTCTATGGATCTCAGTGAGTCTGTGGCCCCCTGTGTGAGTCTATGGATCTCAGTGTGAGTCTGTGGGCCCCTGTGTGAGTCAATGGATCTCAGTGTGAGTCTGTGGGTCACTGTGTGAGTCTATGGATCTCTGTGTGAGTCTGTGAGTCTCTTTGTGAGTCTGTGGGTCACTGTGTGAGTCTATGGGTCTCTGTGTGAGTCTGTGGGTCCCTGTGTGAGGCTGTGGATCTTGGTGTGTGTCTGTGGGTCCCTGTGTGAGTCTATGGATCTCAGTGTGTGAATGTGGGTCTCTGTGTGAGTCTATGTGTCTCTGTGAGTCTATGGGTCTCAGTGTGTGTCTGTGGGTCACTGTGTGAGTCTATGGATCTCAGTGTGAGGATGTGGGTCTCTGTGTGAGTCTATGTGTCTCTGTGAGTCTATGGGTCTCAGTGTGTGTCTGTGGGTCACTGTGTGAGTCTATGGGTCTCAGTGTGAGGATGTGGGTCTCTGTGTGAGTTTATGTGTCTCTGTGAGTCTATGGGTCTCAGTGTGTGTCTGTGGGTCACTGTGTGAGTCTATGGATCTCAGTGTGAGGATGTGGGTCTCTGTGTGAGTCTATGGGTCCCTGTGTGAGTCTGTGGGTCTCTGTGTGAGTCTGTGGGTCTCTGTGTGAGTCTATGGGTCTCTGTGTGAGTCTGTGGGTCTCTGTGTGAGTCTATGGGTCTCTGTGTGAGTCTGTGGGTCACTGTGTGAGTCTATGGATCTCAGTGTGAGGATGTGGGTCTCTGTGTGAGTCTATGGGTCTCTGTGTGAGTCTGTGGGTCACTGTGTGAGTCTATGGATCTCAGTGTGAGGATGTGGGTCTCTGTGTGAGTCTATGGGTCTCTGTGTGAGTCTGTGGGTCTCTGTGTGAGTCTGTGGGTCTCAGCGTGAGTCTGTGGGTCTCAGTGTAAGTCTATGGATCTCAGTGTGAGTCTATGTGTCTCTGTGAATCTATGGGTCTCAGTGTGTGTCTGTGGGTCACTGTGTGAGTCTATGGATCTTAGTGTGAGGATGTGGGTCTCTGTGTGAGTCTGTGGGTCTCTGTGTGAGTCTATGGGTCTCTGTGTGAGTCTGTGGGCCCCTGTGTGAGTCTCTGGATCTCAGTGTGAGTATGTGGGCCCCTGTGTGAGTCTATGGATCTCAGTGTGAGTCTGTGGGCCCCTGTGTGAGTCTATGGATCTCAGTGTGAGTCTGTGGGTCCCTGTGTGAGTCTGTGGGTCTCTGTGTGAGTCTGTGGGTCTCTGTGTGAGTCTATGGGTCTCAGTGTGTATCTGTGGGTCCCTGTGTGAGTCTATGGGTCTCTGTGTGAGTCTGTGTGAGTCTATGGGTCTCTGTGTGAGTCTGTGGGTCACTGTGTGAGTCTATGGATCTCAGTGTGAGGATGTGGGTCTCTGTGTGAGTCTATGGGTCTCTGTGTGAGTCTGTGGGTCTCTGTGTGAGTCTGTGGGTCTCAGTGTGAGTCTATGGATCTCAGTGTGAGTCTATGTGTCTCTGTGAGTATATGGATCTCAGTGTGTGTCTGTGGGTCACTGTGTGAGTCTATGGGTCCCTGTGTGAGTCTGTGGGCCACTGTGCGAGTCTATGGATCTCAGTGTGAGTCTGTGGGTCCCTGTGTGAGTCTATGGATATTAGTGTGAGTCTGTGGGTCTCTGTGTGAGTCTATGGATCTCAGTGTGAGTCTATGGGTCTCTGTGTAAGTCTATGGGTCTCTGTGCGAGTCTATGGGTCTCTGTGTGAGTCTATGGATCTCAGTGTGTGAATGTGGGTCCCTGTGTGAGTCTATGGGTCTCTATGCGAGTCTATGGGTCTCTGTGTGAGTCTATGGATCTCAGTGTGTGTCTGTGGGTCACTGTGTGAGTCTATGGGTCCCTGTGTGAGTCTGTGGGCCACTGTGCGAGTCTATGGATCTCAGTGCGAGTCTGTGGGTCCCTGTGTGAGTCTATGGATCTCAGTGTGAGTCTGTGGGCCACTGTGTGAGTCTATGGATCTCAGTGTGAGCCTGCGGGTCTCTGTGTGAGTCTGTGGGTCTCTGTGTGAGTCGAATGATCTCAGTGTGAGTCTGTGGGTCTCTGTGTGAGTGTATGGATCTCAGTGTGAGTCTGTGGGTCCCTGTGTGAGTCTATGGATCCTAGTGTGAGTCTGTGGGTCTCTGTGTGAGTCTATGGATCTCAGTGTGAGTCTATGGGTCTCTATGTAAGTCTATGGGTCTCTGTGCGAGTCTATGGGTCTCTGTGTGAGTCTATGGATCTCAGTGTGTGAATGTGGGTCCCTGTGTGAGTCTATGGGTCTCTGTGTGAGTCTATGGATCTCAGTGTGTGTCTGTGGGTCTCTGTGTGAGTCTATGGATCTCAGTGTGTGAATGTGGGTCCCTGTGTGAGTCTATGGGTCTCTGTGTGAGTCTATGGATCTCAGTGTGTGTCTGTGGGTCACTGTGTGAGTCTATGGGTCCCTGTGTGAGTCTGTGGGCCACTGTGCGAGTCTATGGATCTCAGTGTGAGTCTGTGGGTCTCTGTGTGAGTCTGTGGATCTCAGTTTGAGTCTGTGGGCCACTGTGTGAGTCTATGGATCTCAGTGTGAGTCTGCGGGTCTCTGTGTGAGTCTGTGGGTCTCTGTGTGAGTCGAAGGATCTCAGTGTGAGTCTGTGGGTCTCTGTGTGAGTCTATGGATCTCAGTGTGAGTCTATGGGTCTCTATGTGAGTCTATGGGTCTCTGTGTGAGTCTATGGATTTCAGTGTGTGAATGTGGGTCCCTGTGTGAGTCTATGGATCTCTGTGTGAGTCTGTGGGCCACTGTGTGAGTCTATGGATCTCAGTGTGAGTCTGTGGGTCCCTGTGTGAGTCTATGGATCTCTGTGTGAGTCTGTGGGCCACTGTGTGAGTCTATAGATCTCAGTGCGAGTCTGTGGGCCACTCTGTGAGTCTATGGGTCTCAGTGTGTGTCTGTGGGTCCCTGTGTGAGTCTATGGATCTCAGTGTGAGTCTGTGGGTCACTGTGTGAGTCTATGGGTCTCTGTGTGAGTCTACGAGGTGTCTGTGCGAGTCTATGGATCTCAGTGTGAGTCCATGGGTCTCTGTGTGCGAGTCTATGGATCTCAATGTGAGTCTGTGGGTCTCTGTGTGAGTCTATGGATCTCGGTGTGAGTCTGTGGGCCCCTATGTGAGTCTATGGATCTCGGTGTGTGTCTGTGGGTCCCTGTGTGAGTCTACGAGGTGTCTGTGCGAGTCTATGGATCTCAGTGTGAGTCCATGGGTCTCTGTGTGTGAGTCTATGGATCTCAATCTGAGTCTTTGGGTCTCTGTGTGAGTCTGTGGATCCCTGTGTGAGTACGGATCTCAGTGTGAGTCTGTGGGCCCCTATGTGAGTCTATGGATCTCAATGTGAGTCTGTGGATCTCAGTGTGAGTCTGTGGGTCTCTGTGTGAGTCTGTGGGTCTCTGTGCGAATCTATGGATCTCAGTGTGAGTCTATGAATCGTGGTGTGTGTCTGTGGGTCCCTGTGTGAGTCTATGGGTCTCAGTGTGAGTCTGTGGGTCTCTGTGTGAGTCTGTGGGTCTCTGTGCGAATCTATGGATCTCAGGGTGAGTCTATGAATCGTGGTGTGTGCCTGTGGGTCTCTGTGTGAGACTATGGATCTCAATGTGAGTCTGTGGATCTCAGTGTGAGTCTGTGGGTCTCTGTGTGAGTCTGTGGGTCTCTGTGCGAGTCCACGGGTCTCTGTGTGAGTCAGTTAGTCCCTGTGTGTGTCTACGGGTCTCTGTGTGAGTCTATGGATCTCAGTGTGTGAATGTGGCTCCCTGTGTGAGTCTATGGATCTCGGTGTGAGTCTGTGGGTCTCTGTGTGAGTCCATGGGTCTCTGTGTGAGTCTACGGGTCTCTGTGCGAGTCTACGGGTCTCTGTGTGAGTCTATGGATCTCAGTGTGAGTCTATGGATCTTAGTGTGAGTCTATGGATCTCAGTGTGAGTCTGTGGGTTTTCATGTGAAGGAGAGATATGCACGGTGGTGGGGTGGAAAAAGGTGGTAGGAGGATATGAAAGTGGTGGAGGTGGTGGTAATCGTAGTGGTCGGAGGAGATTGTGGATAGTGGTGGCGAGGGGCGGTCAAGGTGGTGGTGGTAATGAACACTTGGAGGAGGTAAAAGTGTTGGTGGTTGTTGTGATGGTGGTGGTGATGATGGTGGTGGTGATGTGTGGAGCGGTAGTGCAGCGGCTATCACGCTGCGTTACGAACCCGGTGACCCGAATTCGAATCCTGCTCACGGCCAGCACGTAAGTGACGATGATCTGAATCGGTGGTGGGCCTCCCCTGGGTCGACACAGCCTCGAGTGAGTGCCGATGTGTGTACATTTGGCTACTGGGAGGCAAAGGTGGTCGGGCGTGGTGCTGGCCACCCGTGCTCGTGTACCGTGCCGGCCTTCATTGGTGCTCTCTCACAGCACTTGCCCCAACGGTCTGTGAAAGGCTACACGGGGGATCTTTGTCTTTGTGCTGGTGGCCACAGGCAGATCCTGCTGAACTACGCGGTGTACCGTGCGGACGTGGGCTACACGCAAGGCATGTCGGACCTGCTGGTGCCCATCGTTCTAATGTCGGCGATGATGGTTGACGGCGGCGATGATTGACGGTGGCGGTGATTGACGGTGGCGGTGTGATCACCAGGTGGCAGCGGATGTTGCGGCGGTCGCTCTGAAATCGTCCGCCGTTGCATCTTCTGGTCGTCGTCGTCGGACGCGGAGGAGGAGAGCGTCACGACCCGCACAGGAGGAGGCGGAGGAGTTGGCGGCGGTCGAGGCGGTCGAGGCGGTGTCCTCCATGGCCCCGCGCACCCGATGCTCGGCCCTCCCGTCGCGCCGCCGCCTGCTGCTGCCCGCGTGCGTCCTGGGCCTCAGCCTGGCCGTGGCGCTGCAGTTGTGGCAGGCGCTGGCGCCGCGTGTCGCCGCGGAGATTCCCCGGCTCGGCCTGAAGCCGCTGAGCGGACACCTCGAGCGCCTCTTCTGGTCGGGCCACGGCGGCGACGATGACGACGGTCCGCGGCAGAACGACACGGCCGACGACAACTCGTCATCGGCGTCGTCATCGCCCGCGTCACTGATAGAGCTGGCGAGGGAGCTCGGCGGGCGCGTGTTCACGATGAGAGACGACCGCTCGGAATACTTCGTCAGGACGCCCGCCGGAGCGCTCTGCTTCCGCGAGGGCTCCCTCCGCCCGGAGGAGCCCTCCTCCCTCCCGGTTCCCGTCGGCTCGGTCGGCGGCGTCGGCCTCGAGCCGAACGCGAGCTCCGGCCCGAGCGTGCCGCCCGCGGCGGGGTGCGCGTGCCGGGCAGGCTGGCACGGTCGCCACTGCTCGGTGCCCTCCGTGGTCCACCACTCGAACCTGGGCGCACGGCACCGCGCGGCGCTCGCCCCGCGCGCCGTGCCGCGCCGCGTCGTCAACGCCGTGAACGTGAACCACGAGATGGAGCTGCTGGAGGCGCGGCTACACGAGCTCAACGACACCGTGGACGTCTTCCTCGTGTGCGAGTCCAACTTCACGGCCTTCGGCGAGGCGCGCCGCCTCCACTTCCTGAGCGCCCTCCTGTCGGGCGCCTTCGACTTCGTCCGTCACAAGATCCACTACGTCTTCCTCGACCACTTCCCGAGCGGCGGGCGCGCCGACGGCTGGATCGCCGACGAGTACCTGCGCGCGTTCGCGACGCGCGACGGCCTCGCGCGCCTCTCGGGCCTCCGCGACGACGACGTGTTCGTCATCAACGACGCCGACGAGCTGCCCTCCCGCGAGGCGCTGCTCTTCGCGCGCCTCCACGACGGCTGGCCCGAGCCGTTCGCCCTGCACCTGCGGCGCTCGCTCTACGGCTTCTTCTGGAAGCAGCCCGGCTCGCTGGACGTGCTGGCGGGCAGCACGGTGGGCGCTCTCCGCGAGGTGTACGGCGGCAACGGGATCATGCTGCGGCGGCGCCACTACTACGACATGCCGCGCTTCCGCGACTACGAGCGCCGCAGCGGCACGCGCATGGAGCGGTGGTCGGTGGGCACCGCGTCGCGCCACGCTGGCTGGCACTGCTCGTGGTGCTTCCCGCCCGAGGGCGTGCGGACCAAGCTGGTGTCGGCGCAGAACGGCGACTTCCCGCGCTGGGGAGACTACCCGGAGAAGCTCGACGTGGACTACATCAAGAACCTGATCCGCACCGGCGGTTGGTTCGACGGAACCGGCGCCGGGATACTGCCGCTCGCGAACCCCGCGGAGAAGATGTACGCGCCGTGGTACGTGCTGGAGAACCCCAAGAAGTTTGGCCACCTACTGCGGAACCCGTACCTCTAGCGCACGCCGCCGGTGTCGCAGCCGACAGCGCGGTTCCTGTGGAAAACGCGGCGACTTCCACTGGAGGTTGTTGGCCCACCTCCAGCAACTTCTCGGCGACATCGTGAGAAGAGAAATTTGCTTGGCTTGTTTGTGAGCCAGTTCCGTCTCTCCGTCCGTCATTCTCGGCACGCGCGGGGGGGGGGGGGGGTCGTCTCGTCTCACGAAGAGCCCTCGCTCCTTTGCTTGGATTTGAAGTTTCTGATCTCTCCGAGTTGCTCTGCAATGTTTAAAGTCAAGAGCTGGGAGTAGTTTTGTTTTACGTAGATGCCAACCTGACTCTCCTGCCCCTCGTTTGTTGTTTGTGTTACGATCGCGTGCGTGTCCACATCGGCCACTTTGCTCTGAAGAGGCACTGAGCTGTTGGCGCGATACAATTAAATTTGGGATTGTGCAAGTTTAGGTAACGAAGACTGACCCCGCCCGTTTAACAGATTGGCGTTAGAACCTCTCCCATGGAGTGGCCCGAGTTTACACGTCGGTCTTGTGCGAATGTTAAATTGACGCGAAAAAATGTTTAGTACCAACGGTTCTGTGCCATCATCATCATCACCACGAGTAATGGAACAAGCGTCCAGGGTGATGTGATGGTTGTGACTGCTGTGATGGTTGTGATGGTTGTGACTGCTGCGATGGATTTGATGGATGTGATGGATGTGATGGATTTTATTTATGTGATGAATTTGTTGGTTGTCATGAATGTGACAGATTTTTTGGATGTGATGGATGTGATTGATGTGATGGATTTTATGGATGTGATGAATGTGATGGATTTTATGGATGTGACGGATTTGATGGATGTGATGGATGTGATGTTTACTGATTGCGCCAGTCTACCGTGTGCTCAGCTCGCGGTGATATGGTCATCTCTTGGTCGCCAAGTAATTGTTAATGTGTACATTGACTGTAAATATGAGAAGATGGTGCAATAAATGCAAACATTTGGTGCCTGTATTTCATAAGTAATGTTGTAAATTAATTCAAAAATATATATTTTCGACCCTTTGTCAATCCACTGCCGTGTCGGTCATGGCAATTGTTTGGCCATACTTCACCACGCCGGTCAATGCGCATTGGTGTAATGTGGGAGGCCAATTTATTTTCTGACATCATGCGCCACTGATGTTAGCCGTGAATGGTAATGGAGCTCAACGGTGGTCAGTCGTCTCCTTATCATCCCTCGATCGTTACTTCCATGGTTACTCTTCCGGTAAACCTTCACTCGTCGATTCCTCGATTCGTGTTGAGGACTCGGTCCTCAACCACAGGGACTCACAGTCTCACGCTGTTCAGCGTTTCACCATCGCCAGTGAACCATAACACTGGTCAACCAAAAAAAACATTTTTTTCTGGCCTGGACTTTTGCAGCTGTTTTAGACAAATTTCAGGGTGCTGATTCCTAATCTTACTTTCTCTATCACATCTCATTTTATGCTATCGGCATACCCCATTTTCATTGATTTTACCCGAAATTAACTCTGTCACTTATGATTGCAAGTTGTTGCGAGTCAGTGACTGCTTTAGTGTTGAAATATGGTGCTGTATTTTTAGGATAGTGTGTTTATAATATCATTTTATGTAGATATCCACATTTATTTAATATTTTTCTTCTGCAGTTTTAATTGAAAATGCAATATTTGATATCTCAAAAACCTGATGTGATAGACAATTGCCAGATTTGGAATCAGCACCCCAAAATTACCTTAAAACCGTTGGAATACCTTATGCCAGAAAAAGTGTGTTGACCAGTGGCCATGATCTATCCGCTGCTAGGACGAAGCCCCCCCCTCCCCCCTATGTCGTCACCATCCCTCGGAGTCCACGCGGGGGGGGGGTGGGGGGGGTGGACGCGTCATGGACACGTGGACGGCCGCGTGCCTCCGCTCACGCTGTACAGCGGTCGACCTTTTATTTCAAACGTTCGGTTTGGCATCGACTGTGACGAACTTTTCCGTACGAGCTTTTAACAAGGTCACGGGGGTCACGGGGAGGGGGGTGGGGGTCACTGGTCACCCCCCCCCCCACCACGACCTCCAACCATTAAGTAACAAGATCAATATTGGAGACGATACGCCTCCTTGACTTTCCGTAGGAACAAAAAAAAACCTCTTACAAACATCGTTTTGGTTTGTTCGTTTCCAAATCCCTTCTGAGAGATCCAATAATTTCCAGCAGGCGCTGCTGGTTCTAACAACAACAAAACCCATTGGAACCGGTTTCGACATTTTTCAAGCGTCTCGTTCGCACGGTGACCGCTTGCTTGGCAGCAATGCCGGTGACGTTGCCAGACGTTATTGTTTTTGTTGTTGTTTACAGGCAAGAACCACCTCTCTTTGTGAGATGTGGATCGTCGGTGCGCTTAAGGGTGCAGACTCGGGTGAGCACTCAGCTCTCTTGCAATGGCTTGCCACGTTACGTCTCTCTGGAAAATAATCGCTGTGACCATACCTGTTAACCCACACGGCTTAGCCCCATCGGAGACTTTTTTGCCCACTACAGCAATTTGTTTCTTGCCGTGGCTGTCCCACCTGATGACGGACGCTTGTGTTGCTTCCGAAACGTCGTGATTTAATTTATTGTATACCTACGTGACTTTACCGAAAGAACCAAAGAGTATGGACCCCGTATTCTTGTGCAGGGGAAATCGAGTTTTTCGGTCCATATGGCGTACAGCTGTTTCAATATGAGTTAAAAAAATGTTTTTGTCTATTTGCTTGTGTTTCTCCCTTAAAACTCGACTTAAAGCTTTCGTGACTGCAGGAATTAATTTGCTTTGAGTCTTTCGGTAAAGTCACATAGAAAAAAAAATCACGACGTTTCGATCGCAACACAAGCAATCACCTGATAACGATTGCTTGTGTTGCGATCGAACCGTCGTGATATTTTTATTATTTTTTCTATCTACGTGGCTTTACCGAAATACCCAAAGAGTATGTTTCTCCCTTGTGATGTGATTTTGTAGGAGGAACGTTGAGATGTAGAAGGGCACGGGGGTGACCAATACGATCTTAATTGGTCTGTGTAATCAGGTAGAGGGCACTGATAATGGGTTGACCGGTATGTATGAAAATCTGTTATTTTATTCTACTTTTATTGGTTTTGATTTTTTACCTACGTGACTTTACCGAAAAACCCGAGAATATGAAAATCTGTTCTTCAATAACGCTGCGTATTTTCACGACGCGAATTGGATAGAACGCGCGATGGATGCATTCGGTAATTCGCGTAACACGAATTGGGTTATGTTCGCGACCGTGCGAACGGAAGGAGCAAGCGGCCGTGTGGCTGCCTCGGCGGAGCGTCATCGCACAGAGGGAAGCGGGATGCTGCTGGATGCTTCTGGATCGCTACCCACGCGCCGCCCGGTCTTTGTTCAGCCTGCGACGCGCGTCATCGCGGACTCTGCTTTACCCCTACATTATATATTGCCTATTCTAACGCGATTGTTCCATAACGCGGCGTCCTTCCGGAACACAACTACCACCGCGTTATAGACCCTATTATCATCATCATCATCGTGAAGCGACTGTAGGATGACGTTCGTTGACGCGGAGAGGCACTCGCCCTTTTGCAAACACTGAACTCGCGCTGACATACAAAGGGGTCTGCCTAACTCAAACACGTGGTCACCACAATGCACACATCTCCTAAACGCCTACCGAGGATACAGCTAAGCCCTCACACTAACCCCCTCCACACCCACCGCGTGCCCCGGCAAGCCGTGATCACGGCCGTCATTACAGCAAAGCGTCATCGGTGGTTTTTGCCGAGTGATGTTGACCCAACAGAGCCCACCACCAACGAACCCCATTCACCATCGGAGACTCTGTGTGTCTCTCTTGCGCGCTGGAGGTCACTCGCTTGCGAACAGAGGACACGGGAGGCAGGGCCGGATTAAGATTGTGTAGCCCCCCTGGGCGACAGGGTACCGTGAGGGCCCCCCCATCCGCAGTAATATTTTCACAAGGAAAACAAACGTTTAAGAAAAATAAAATGTCTTTTTCTACACGGCTAACAGCAAATACAATTCAGCATTTATAAAGGAAATAACTTTTCACTTGGAGGCCCTCCAGCTGACGGAGGCCCCTGGACTTGCAGCCCCTAAAGCCCCCTGCACCTGCACGGGAGGTCTCATCAGCGTGCGGCGTTATCGCGAACGACTGCCCCCAAATCGGATCAAACAAATCCACGCGGCTATCCCCCCCCACCATCCCCGCCCCGAAGCAGTCGAATGGGAAATCAAATCTCGACATACAATTTGTAATCTGTTGCAATCCCCCCCAACCACCACCACCAAATTCCGTACGAAAGAAGAGCAGGACACGGACGTTCCCGGAGCCGGCCGTCACGCTGTGATGGTCAGCAGCAGGACGCCGGACTTGCAATTCGAAGGTCGCCGGTTCGATTCTATCTATTCTTAGGTTTTTTCGGTAAAGTCACGTAGGTAAAACATCAAAATGAATAAAAGTAAAATAAAATAAGCCTCACCTTACCATATTAATAAAAAGTGTGCTGTACTTGGCCCTTACCCCCCCCCCCCCTTCTCCAACCATTATATAAACGGAGTGGTAGCTCCTGCAATCTCTCATTTACTTGATACGGCTGTCGTGGCTGTGACGGTTCCACCTGAAGACGGAAGCTTGTGTTGCCTCCGAAACGTCGTGATTTTTATTTTATTTTACTTTTATTAATTTTAATGTTTTACCTACGTGAATTTACCAAAAAAACCTAAGAATATGAATCCTTGCAGTCACGAAAGCTTCACATCTAGAATCGATTCTATCTCCCGGAGCGGCAGCCGAAAATAACGATGCCGCTTTCTTGAATCTCTCCCCCGCCCGCCACCGCACAGCGATGTAGTTGGGTAGCGACAACCGCCGTGATGCGACCTGAATGTCGCGTGTTGTGGTGGGGCAAAGTGTGGGTAACTCCCAACTCTTTCACGTACAGCAGCACTCGAGGGCTCTCTCAACTCTCCCCCCACGTCCACCAGCAGTGGCGGCGGTTAGCAGTTGCAGGGCTGCGCCTTCGGGTCGCGCGCGGTGGCGGCAGGGGGGGTTCTATACTTTCACCGCTTGCCACGGCTTACGTGCCCCCCCCAATTTTCACCAACCCGCACTGAGCGGTGTGGTGAAGTATGGTCAAATAACCCCCACGGGGGCACCCTGTACACGGTGCGGCGTCGTTACGAGTTCTTCATTGCAAGGCCCGCGGGCCCCTGGTGGACCCCAGTGGCCCCCGACAATACGCAAATGTGACCCCCCCCCCCGCCATCACCGTGCTGTCAAACCCACATGGCTTCAAATGTGTGGCGGCCCCTCACGCTGATGATGTCTTATCGGCGAAAGTGCCCCCCCCCCTGCCCCCCCCCCCTCTGAAAATGAGTTTAGAACACTGCCCCCCAGACTCTTTGTGCAGGAGGGCCGTGACACGTCGCTGTGGGGGGTGGGGTACGACGCCACGATCTTGGCATTCCCAATTTTTCGATTTGAAGCTTTCGTGACTGCAGGGATTCATCTTCTTGGTTCTTTCGGTAAAGTCACGTAGAAGGGAAATAATAAAATACAGTTTAACGCGTAGGCTTTCGCGATGAGTTAATGATGACGTCACTCTGCTGCTGCTCTATATAAGAACGGGAGACACAGCAGAGCCTCACCATTCTGGCGAATTGCCCGATGATGCTGGATGCAATTACCAGCGAAACGTCGTACTCAAATTGTAAATTGTTGTGGTCTCACGCTTCAACACACCGGTGGGCTAAAGCAGTGAACTAATTGTCTTTTGTCAACGTGACACTTTTTTACTGATTGGCCGTGTCGGGTGGTGGAGGGTTACGACACATTTATAAATAACGCGATCTAAACCCAAAAACGTTGATGAATAAAAATAAAACATAATTAAATAATTCTCACGACGTTTCGGCCACAACGCAAGCAGCCGTCCTTATTGTTTTATTTTATTGTTTCCATTCTACGTGACTTTACCGAAAGAACCAAGAAGATGATTCCCAATTTTATTGGCCAATTTGGGCCGTTAACGCCGCGGTACATAACGGCTGGCTCCTCTTCTTCTACCGATGCCACAACGTGACCTTTGAAACGTCGACCGCGAAGCAGCCGGTGGCGCCCAGGAGCGTCGTTACCGCGGTATTTTGCCGGGGCCCGCCACGGGCAAACGCGGCGCCGCCGTTTCGGAAGCTTTGGTGGAGCCGGATTGCACCGTCGCATCGCGGGACCGTGGGAGATGGCTTGGGAAGGACTCCAGCCAGCAGCGGATAGACCATGGCTGACGACGATGATCGACGTCGCTAGACGCGGTCGGAGGGAGCACGCGCGTGTCGCCAGCCCGCCGCTCGCATCTTCACGAACACCAGGCTCTCTCCGGCGGTATGCAGAGTTTTTTTTATGTCATATTAAACACAGTACCGTGACAACAAAACATAACTCCCCCCCCCCCCCTAAAATCAATAACAAAGCTGAACGTTATAAAAACACAAGACCCACGAAATAAATATTTACAGACACAGCCATTCCCTGGTCGTCGCTGGGTCTGGGCAACTGAAGACCAAGAGACTCGAAAGACCCTGGGTTTCGAGCAATTCTGGATCTTGTCCATTTATACGGCCTGCCACAAAGACAAAGATCCCCCGGAGAACTTCAACAGACTGTAGTAGGGGCAAGTGCTGTTGGCGAGCACCTACAAAGGCCGGCACGGCACACGAAGGGGTGGGTGGGTCAGCACCACGCCCGGCCGCCTTGTGGCGATGTTTACACACCGTACCAGGTACTCATTTGAGGCCGAGCCGACCGAGGCGAGGCCCAGGACCGGTTTAGATAATCGCCGGGCTGTCACACACACGACAGGCAGACACATCGTGTGCACATACAGACATACGCTGAGGCAAGTGCTGTTAGCCAGCACCTATGAACGCTGCATAGCGCATGAGGTGGTGGGTATCCGGCACCACGCCCGGCCACCTTTGTCTCCCCGGTGCAAATATTTTACACATCGCACCAGATACTCATTTGAGGCCGAGTCGACCACGGGGGGAGGAGGCCCAGGACCGGTTCGGATAACCGTCACCCGTGTTGGTGGTGGCCGTGAGCAGAAAATCGAACTCGGGTGTTAGCCGGTTTCGTAGCGCGTGTGACTACCGCCGCACTACCGCTCACAGACAGGCACAAACAGAAACACAATCACACCGACAGGCACATCACACACACGCGTGCAAGCATGCATGCACGCACGCACGGACGGTCAGAAAGCTTTGAGGGCCAGCGGAGGAGACGATGCCTTGATCGCCGAGAGCGCTACTCTGTTAAATTCGCCTCTCATCCCTTTCGTCTCGCTCCCCTCTTGACATCAATTCTGCAAATCCAACTCAGCAGTCGAAATTATGACTTTGCTGTCGTCTCTCGCAGCAAGCGTTTGCATCGACCGGGCAGCGTCGTCCTATTTGGCTACGAAATAAGACCGTGAAAGCAGGCAACGGTATTCGCCAAATTCACTTCCTGAAATGCGAGGCTCCGCAAGGTTTCCCGGCACGTGGTGCGAAACGTCGGACGCCGCGCCCAACGCGGGAGAGATAAACAAAACTTTGGCGGCAGCGGAGACGCCCCGGCGTTCCAGATAATTCCTCCCCCTGCCGAGTAATTCACCCATCCACACGTCGTCACGTGAGGCGAGCAAAACGTAACGTCACCTTGAAGTCTAGGGTAATATAGATAAATATTGTCCGCTGTATAACGCTCGATGGCATCCTCGGGCTAATCATTACCTGCTGGGTAGCACAATATTAACGAGAACCTGGCACTGCAACTTGCAATGTCACCGGTAACTCCTCTAGAGAAACAGCGGTTCGACGGACGCAGGGGCAGTAGCTCCTCTCGGTGAGAAACTTGCGAAAACTACCAATAGTTTCACCAACGTCCTCACGCGACCGACGCGCACCCACTCGTTCCGTTGCGGAGGCGACGTCGGCGGCACGGTTCTGGTTCTGCGGTGGAAAACCGGCCCGGAGCCTCCCGAGCCACGCTGGGCTGGCTCGGCATGGCTCGGTTGTGGGCTGTAAAAGCGTACGCGGTGTTCTCGCCGTGCAGTGTTGACTATTTTAAAGCAGCGCACCTGGACCAGCGTGCACAGGTGCATCGCGGGTAGAGTTACCCACGATGCACCTCTTTGAGCAGCGTTCATTGCCGCCTGTCCTGGTTTTCTCCCCTCCGCCTCCGGTATTGCAACATATTCTTCTTCCCCTGATATGTTCCGGTTTAATTGGAGCTCAGAGGTGGGCAAGCATAGCTGAAGGCTCCCGCCCTCCTCCCCCACCACTTGATAGAATGGAGATTTGCAAGCCGAGTCATGTTGACCCTGACCCTTGCAGTACGGAGGGGAGGGGCTGGTTGGGTGGGGGGTGGCGGCTTGCCCCAACCCCCGGCTCGGCGGGCAGATACACGACATCCGATTGGCCGTTTCCGCTCCTGTCGTGTTTTTGTACCGTTTGTTTGTTGTAACGTTCTGACCCGCCCCTACCGGACACGCGTGAGAAAGAGCTTTACAGCTCATCGGATTCCTCCAGTATAAATAAACATTCTGATTCCGAGTAGGACGGCACTTGATTTGACGCCAAAGTGACCTCTGTATGTGTATGTATGCGTGTTGAACTTCCTTCACGCCGCACGTAGCCAACAGTGCCGATCTATCCAGCCCTCGGGCACGAGCCCTCGATATACTGGTCAGGGACTGGCACCGAGAGTGGCACAGGAGGTCAGGGAGTAGCATGGAGGTGGTCGCGTGGGGGGGGGGGGGATTAAGAGGAGGGGGGGGGAGCAAGGGGAGGGGGGTCAGGGAGACAGCATGGCAGCGAGCAGCGAGAATAAAAGGAAACGGGGAAGGTCACGGGAGGTCACGGGAGGTCACGAGAGGGCACGTGGGGGGGGTCACGGAGCGGGCTCGGAGGCCAGCGAGGGGGGCAGCCCCCCGTAGGGGCAGCCGTCGGCGTCGAGATGGTCGCCCGTGCACTCGACGGCCGGCACGTAGCCCGAGTCCCACATCCCCGAGCCGCAGCGCACGCACAGCGAGTGCAGGCTGCACGGGATGCGGCGCAGCAGGCGGAAGCGGTACAGCAGGCCCCGCGCCTGCATGGGCCACAGGGAGAGAGGGTGGGTGGGAGAGTGGGTGAGTGGGTGGGCGAGTGAGTGGGCGAGTGGGTGGGTGATTGGGTGATTGAGTGGGTGAGTGAGTGGGTGAGTGAGTGGGTGGGTGAGTGGGTGGGCAAGTGGGTGGGAAAGTGAGTAGGTGAGTGGCAGAGTGGGAGGGAGAGTGGGTAGGTGAGTGGTTGAGTGGGTAGGTGAGTGAGTAGGTGAGTGGGTGGGTGATTGGGTGAGTGAGTGGGCGAGTGAGTGGGCGAGTGGGTGGGCAAGTGGGTGGGAAAGTGAGTAGGTGAGTGGCAGAGTGGGAGGGAGAGTGGGTAGGCGAGTGGCTGGGTGGGTAGGTGAGTGGGTGAGTAGGTGAGTGAGTGGGCGATTGGGTGAGTGAGTGGGCGAGTGGGTGGGCAAGTGTGTGGGAAAGTGGGAGGGAGAGTGGGAGGGAGAGTGGGTAGGTGAGTGGCTGGGTGGGAGGGAGAGTGGGTAGGTGAGTGGCTGGGCGGGTAGGTGAGTGGGTGAGTAGGTGAGTGGGCGATTGGGTGAGTGGGTGGGAGAGCGAGTTGGCGAGTGAGGAGGTGAGTCAACCGTTTATTCTCACAACACGACGCGCGTCTCGTCAGCGACAGGATGCCTCGTGACACACACGGCCATCTTTTTCAACTCACTGCTGGACGAGGGCCTCCCCACGCCGTGCGGGTCGTGGCGGTCATTTGTCCATACTTCACCACGCCGGTCAGTGCGGATTGGTGACGGTGGAGGGGGAGCAGAGATGCTGGAGCATCGACGTACAGAACCATGGAATCTGCTGCCCTCTGCTGCCCTCGACAGAGCCCCACAGCCGCTTATGAACAACCTGGGATTTTTTCCACACAGCGTTGGTGTACGGTGCTTTTTCTGCAATATTTTGCTGTCTTTTCTTGGATTTTCTGTTTGCACATAGTCACTTTAAAATGTCTTCTGGTTCATGTTTTTTATTTGTTGCGGTTGCACCCGATTCAAGAGCCGAATGGCTCACAGGGCTACACCGAATAAATGAAACTGAAACTGAAACCCGGCGTGATTGGTGGTCGCCCACCCAAGCGACTTCCCATGCTCACACTCTGCGGTGGCGACATGGTACAAGCGGTCGCGCGTTCGCCGCTTGTCGCGGAGGCTCGCGGTTCGAATCCGACGGGACCGCCCCGGTAAACACCGCCGGCTGTGTTAACTGCTGCCATGCACCGTTCTGCTTCACGTCGCGGCGGACGTTCAAGACCCCGTGACGTAGTGAGCCGTCGTGCGACGGCGTCACGGTCCGCATTGTTGATGAGTACGTAAAATGACACCGCAAATTACTCCATTGGGATTTACACATCGCCCGCCCGCCCCCCCTGCTCCCCACCCCTCGCCTCCCCTACCGGGGGACAAATGTAAATATTTGCAAGGCTGGTGCCGAGTCCTCGTCTTGTGCTACGGAGGGACGGCTGCTACCGGGAGACAGCCTGCGAATGCTTTGAGATGAGGTGGGATGGAAGGGCGCGCGCCGAGTTGCCGACGCATTTAGGCGTAAACTATAATTTTTATTTGCTTAGTTCTTACTGCTTATTCATCGTTGTTATTTTCGACAAATGGCGATGATAACGTGGGGGGGGGGGGGGGGGGGCATTGCAGGCGCTTGGGTCGTAGGCTGACGAAACTTGCGGCAACGGCGCACACAGAACCACCCTGAATAATATTTTTGTTAATTAAAAATGTACAATTAAAAACTACGGTCTCTTAACGACGTGACCACACCCAATCGGATTCCGTCCATCAACGCCTGGCGGCAGAATTATTATTAAACATTTTAATTGTTTCAATAACTTTTTGTGGTTTGTGCTTTTTGTTTTTGGCCCTCATATATAATGAATGTACAGTGTTGTGGGATGCTGTGGGCATCAATGACGCTACGTAAAATTTAAGTATTATTAATACTATTACATAATGCTCAGCAGACCCAACAAAAGGCTTCAGAGCACCATGCAGAGAAAACATTTCTAGAAACAAAAATTCTCGAATTTTTGTATGGTAAGTGGGGGGGGGGGGGCAAGGGGTGGAGGGGGGGCGCCCTCTGACCTTGATGAGTACGAGCTTCCCGCTCATGTGACCGGCGAGGTTGGTGAAGTGTAGCAGCATGGCGTCTGCGGAGAGCCCCCGCTGCACCACCACGCCCCCGTACGTGTCCATGATGGCCAGGCACACAAACAGGTGGAAGTAGTCCGTCTGGAGGAGCACAAAGACAATGATCCCCCATGTAGCCTCAGCAGAGCGGTTGGGCCAAGCTCTGTATTGACGAGCTCCCGCGAACAAGGCTCTGCGCGGCCGCACCGCGCCCGGCCGCCTTTGTCTCCCCAGTGCTCACGTTTTACGGACGCCGCACCAGGGTACTCATTTAAGGGCCGAGTCAAACTCAGGGAGGCCCAGGACCGGTTCAGAAATTCGTGAGCGGGACTCAAACTCGTGTCGCCGTGTACTAACCGCTGCGCCGAGGCTCCCTTACCCACGATCCCACCAGGGAACACATGCACACCCTGGAGTAGCAGCTAATCAGACCGACTGTTTAGTCTCGAGTGCTGTGTTCAACCACCACACTGTGAGAAACAACAACACACCCATTCGTCCATTCACTCACTCACCCACCCACACACTCACCTACTCACTCACCTATGCAAAGGGCATGCACGCACAAGAAGCACCACGCGTTCACCAACACACACAAAGCACGCGAGCGGGAATGTGCAAACACGCACAATGTACACGCACGCACGAAGAAATACAAAGACAAACGGCACAACAAAAACAAAGATCTGCTATGGCCTTCACAGACGGTTGGGGCAAATGCTGTTAGAGAGCACCTATGAAGGCCAACACGGCACAGAAGGGTGTGGGTGGCTAGCACCACGCCCAGCTGAGTCGACCTAGGGGAGGGCCAGGACCGATGTTTGGGCCGTGAACGGGAATCTAACTCGGGTCACCGGGTTCATAGCGCAGTGCACTAACCACTACACCACCGTTCCCCATAACAGCACGCAACGTACATGGGCACGAGCGCAGTTTGTTTTGTGTTTGTACCATCAGTACACGAGTTCACGGAACACACTCAGTCCACACAGACGGATGGAGATAACAAACTCAAATAAGATACAGAGGAAGGAACGATGTACGGCACACGCGTGGCATTGCCAGCGGAGGGTCTCCCCCCCCCTCACCTCCCACCACCACTCACCTCCCGCTCAGCCAAGGTTCGCATGAAACGAGCAGAGAGAGAGAGAGCAGGCGTCAGATCGAGAGCACAGCAGCGGTGGCAGCGGTGGCAGCGGTGGCAGCGGTGGCAGCGGTGGCTAGCGGTGGCTAGCGGTGACTAGCGGTGGCAGCGGCGCGCGGTGGTCATGATCGAAGCTGATTGTGTGACCAGGCGAAAAGCTGAATGGACCAGGATGAGCCTTGCTGGCTAGAGTACAGCGGCGCTGGGGCCATCGGTCTGCCTGGAGTAGGGGGCGAAGATGCTTGCTGCAGTGTGAATCATAGCAAATCGAGGGATTTGCGGTGTGATTTTCCCATTTTGGAAAATTTGCACACCGACGCCGGCACGCGTTGGCCCGCATCTTTAAAGTCCACCGTGAGTTGGAAGTCGACGGCGCGTGGCGGTATTATTTTCGTTATTGCCACACGTCGCAGTATTGACCAGGGCGGCCGCCGGATTCGAGTCGCGAGCCTCCACAACAGCAAGCAGCGAGCACACTACCGATGGGCCACCGTGTGATCATCGCCTCGCGCCACAGAGGGGGCCGTTGGCGCTGGTTATGACAGCGGCAGCGGCGGTGGCTATTCACGTCGACGGCTGCTGTGGTGGCGATGGCTGTGGGGATGTTATCGGCTTTATCAGTGCCATTGGTGACGGTGGTGGTGACGGTGGTGGTGCTGGCGGTGGAAATGGGGGCGGGATTGTTGGCGGCAGTGATGGTGGGGGTGGTGGTGATGGTTGTGACGATGGTGTGGCGGTGGTGGTGGCGGCAGTGACAGTATTGGTGGTGGCAGTGGTGGTAATGGTGGTGGTAGTGACAATAGTGGTGATGGTGGTGGCGGTGACAGTATTGGTGGTGGCAGTGACAGTATTGGTAGTGGCGGTGGTGGTAATGGTCGTGGTAGTGACAGTAGTGGTGATGGTGGTGGTGGCGGTGACAGTATTGGTGGTGGTAGTGACAGTATTGGTGGTGACGGTGGTTGTAACGGCAGTGGTTAGTGACAGTAGTGGTGGTGATGGTGGCGGTGACGATATTGGTTGGCGGTGTTGCCGCGGCAACTGATTGGCGCCACCCCCACCTGGTAGTGCGCCCAGCAGGCCTCCCACATGCGCAGCGCCTCGGACTCGCGGAACTCGCGCTTGAAGCAGAGCAGCACCCAGCGGTGGCAGAAGAGCATCTGCAGGCCGTCCTCCCCCAGCGACTGCAGGTGCTCAAAGAAGCGCGGCAGCATCAGACGCACCAGCTCGCGCAGGTACGTCTGGGGGACCGCAGGGAGGGAAGGGGGGGGGGCAAGGTGACGGGGGGGGGGGGCCGTGGGACCGCCGGGCGCGTTAGCTTCGATACGCCGTTGGCCTTCGCGACAAATATTATTATTCGTTAGTATTTTTTCCGTTCAGATCGTGTAACTGCGGCCACTCCTGCCGTCCTGATGCCCCAGGTCACAATACATTGTAATCTAACATCACGTCCGTCACCTAACGCCAATACATTCAGCTCGAGGAATCACTCTTCCTGCCACCTCCTGCCACCCTAGGGGGGCGCACGCCGATGGCTTCACACCACCTGCTCAAGGCCCAAGACCGGAGGGCATTTCAAAAGCTTGTGTTGCCTCCGAAACGTCGTGATTTTTATTTTATTTTTATTTTACTTTTATTAATTCAAATTTTTTAAATACGTGACTTTACCGAAAAAACCTAAGAATATGAATCCTTGCAGTCACGAAAGCTTCAAATCTAGAATTTCACAATCCTGCCCGATGACGCCGGCTGTAACTACCAGCGGAACGGCCGGAACCCAACCGTTAAACGCGCGTGCGGATCGCTCTCCAAACGACGCGACCGGTGGTGCCGCATTCGTCCGTCGCGTCCTGACAACTTCAGCAATCGGCCGTGTCGGGCGGAGGAGGGCGCGCGACACGCAAGTTTGTTCGCGCGGCGATCCGACAAAAAAACAAATAAAAACGATCACGAGCCACCGTCACTGTTCGTCGGGTGCTTTCAACTTTTACTGAAACGCCTACGAAACAACCGACGGTAAACAAGAGAACCCCGGCCCGGCGCTCCGCACCAGCTGCGTCTCCATGTCCTCGTCGCGCGGGGAGCTGAAGAAGATCGTCTCCTGCATGAGGCCCACGAAGCACCAGAAGGAGTCGGCCTCGTCGCGCACCTCCGCCAGGATGGGCGCCAGCAGGTCCGACATGCCCTGCGTGTAGCCCACGTCCGGACGGTACACCGCGTAGTTCAGCAGGATCTGCCTGTGGCCACCAGCACAAAGACAAAGATCCCCCGTGTAGCCTTTAACAGACCGCCGGGGCAAGTGCTGTGAGGGAGCACCAATGAAGGCCGGCACGGAACACAAGCACAGGTCGGCAGCACCACACCCGACCGCCTTTGTCTCCCCAGTGGTGATGTTTACACACCGAATCAAGTACTCATTTGAGGCTGAGTCGACCTAGGGGCGGCACAGGACCGATTCGGATATTCGTCACTGGTGTTAGTGGCCGTGAGCGGGAATCGAACCCGGGTTGCTGGGTTTGTAGCGCAGCGCGCTAACCGTTACACTACCGCCAGCACACGCACACCCCCACACACACACTGAGACAAAGGCACAGGTCCCCTGTACGGACTACACGGACTGTCGTGGCAAGGGCTGTTAGCGCGAGGGGGTGGTGTGCTTGCCCGTTCAGTAAGGAAGATGTCCCTCACCCCTGCTCTAAGGAGGTGTGGCTAACGGTGATTGTGTGTCTGTAGGTTGCTTGGCCGATGCTGGTATAGGTGATAGTGGTGGTGTGGGCTGATCGTGGTGTTCTGGCTAGGGGTGGTGTGGCTGACTGTGGTGTGGCTGCCTGTATTGTGACTGACAGTGGTGCTAGATATGGCGTGGCTGTAGGTGGTGCGGCTCGGGGTGGTGTTGTTGATGGTGGTGTGGTTGTGAATGGTGTGGCTGGAGCGCGGTGTGGTTGGCGGTGGTGTGCCTGTGGCTAGTCTGGCTTGTTGGTGGTGTGGCCGAGGTTTGGACCTCATGATCTCCACGTTGGGGTTGTCCTCGCCCTGGTAGAAGGGGTGGGAGCGGTCGGTCCGGACTACGTCGCGGTCCACCGTGTACTGCACCTCCCGCCAGAAGCGCTCCTGATCCTCCTGAGACATGCCCAGCCTGGCACACGGGGACACGTGGGGACACGTGGGGACACGTGGGGACACGTGGGGACACGCGGAGACACGTGGGGACACGCGGAGACACGTGGGGACACGCGGAGGCACAGGGGCATGCACGGGGACACCAGCAAAGGACTCATGCACGAAGATATGTGTACACCAACGCAGGCACACACCAATACACACAGGTATACGTGCGAGCTGCCGTGGGGATGTTCAGGTATGCACAGGTACAGGGGAGGCCCAGGAACGTTTTCAGCAGTGACTAAGAATTGAACGCAGGTCGCCGGGTTCGTAACGCAGCGCGCTAACCACTGCATCACCGCTCTGGTAAACACACGAAAAAGACAAAGATCCTCCATTTAGGCTTAAAAAACTGTTGGGGCAAGTGCTCTTATTGAGCACTTATGAAGGCTGGCACGGCACACGAGGTTTGTGGTTTGCCAGCACCACGCCCGATCGCCTTTGTCTCCCTAGCGGCGATGTCTACACACCGTACCAGGTACTCATTTGAGGCTGAATGCGACTTAGGGGAGGCCCAGGACCGGTTTCAGATAATCGTCACCGGTGTCGGCCGTGAGCGGGAAACGCTAACCGCTGCGCTGCCGCTCCCCACCACACACACGCACACCCACAGTGTACATGCGTGCGTGCGTACCGTGCGAGCTGCACGTCGGCGTACTCGCGGCGCTTGTGCTGGCGGAGCTGCTCGCGCTCGTGGCTCGTGGAGCGGAAGGAGTAGTACTTGAGCAGGAAGGGCCACACCTCGCCGCGCACCTCAGTGGCTACGCCGGCAAAGAAGATCGACTGGGGAGGACGGGGGGAGGAGGATGACGAGGAGGATGAGGAGCATGGGGGACCGGTCACGTCGCTTGCTTCACAGTGGCCAACGCGGCCATTGTGAGCCAGCAGTAACGCTGGTGCCTTCACAGCGAGAAGAGTCTGGGTTCGATTCTGAATTGGGTGCATTTCTGTGTGGAGTTTGTCTGTTCTTCCCCCCCCCCCCGCCCCGTTCTGCCGAATGTGAGGGAGCGTGTGCGTGAGTGTGTTTGCGAGTGCGCGAGTGGAGTTAGTGTGTTCTCCTCCTGTTCTGCAGAGTGAGCATGTGTGTGCGCGAGTGTGTGTGTGTGTCGAGTTTGTATTCTCTCCCCTTGTTCTGCAAGGGTTTTCCTCCGGTTTCCTCCTCCCAAAGCAAAAATAAAACCACGCACAATGTAACTGGTATTGGCCAAAACATCCCAATGCTGAAAATTCCCCTGCAAAATACGCAATTGGGATCGCACACATCAACAGAAGCAGCAGTGGCAACATCGCCACCCGAGTGCGAAAACTCGTCAGTGGATTATCAACAGTAACATTCAGAAAAAGTCGTGAGACTCGGTAAGACTTTTCTGGGTGAGTAAGCAAATGCTATAAAGAATGACAATTCCATGGCTCGCCCGCCTAACTAACCAATATATGTTTGCGTGTTCGCCTTTCGTGCCGTTGTTGGAGTGCAGGGCATTCCGAAGCATGGGGCGACGATTGCTGCTGCTGCTGCTGCCGCCGTGCGACCGAGGTGTCGCTTTTAATTTTTTTCAGAAGCGATCTGCTCACAAATGATAGCTCAACGAAGTGGCTTACCATCACGTGGCGGGAAATTTAGAGCAGCGGCCAAATCATCCACGCAAAAATATACAGCAGGCGTCGTCAGGGTCGGGATCGAACCCACGACCTCCCGCATACCAGGCGAGGGAGACAACATCTCCGAACCACCGCGTCACTTCAACGAATCTATCCGCCACGGGACGTGACGCCGGCCGAACAACGCGGTAGCTTCGATACGCCGTCGGCCTTCGTGACAAATATTATTATTCGTTTTTATTTTTTCCGTTCAGATCATGTAACTGCGGCCACTCCTGCCAGCCTAATGCCCCAGGTCACAATGTATTGTAATCTAACATCACGGCCGTCACCTAAAGCGAATACATTCAGCTCGAGGAATCACTCTTCCTGCTACCTCCTGCCACCCTAGGGGGGTGCACGCCAATGGCTTCGCAGCACCTGCTCAAGGCCCAAGACCGGAGGACATTTCACAATCCTGCCCGATGACGCCGGCTGTAACTACCAGCGGAACGGCCGTAACCCAACCGTTAAACGCGCGTGCGGATCGCTCTCCAAACGACGCGACCGGTGGTGCCACATTTGTCCGTCGAGTCGTGACAACTTCAGCAATCGGCCGTGTCACCCGCACTACGCCCGGCCCGGCGCGGTGCGGGTCCTTGACGTCCCCCCAGCTCGGCGGAGCGCGACGTGCGGAGCGAGCCGTGCCCACACCTTGCGGATCTTGTAGTCCTCCTCGACGCGGCCGTCGGCTGTGAGGTGCTCGAGCCACGAGCAGCGGCTCAACTGGCGGTAGCAGCCCTCCTCCGGGTGCGCCCCCCCCTCCACTCCGCCCACAGGCTCGTTCACGCAGAAGTGCAGGTAGGAGCGGCTGTCGCTCACCTGCGCGCGCACCGGGCGGTGTCGACATCGGAGACATTTACAAGTGGCCGTGACGTACACACACACACACAAAGGCAAAGATATCCCCCGGATTAGCCCAGAATAGACTGCTGGGGCAATTGCTGTTAGCGAGCGCCAATGATGGCTGGCGTAGTACACAAAGTGGTGAGATGGGCAGCACCACGCCCTGCCGCCTTTGTCTCCCTGGTGCTGATGTTTACAACACACTGCACCAGGTACCTAGGGGAGCGGTGGTGCAATGTGGTGCTGCGGGCGGTAGTGCAGTGGTTTGTCCTACAGCTGGTATATGGGGGTTTTTGTGGTGCGGTGGCGTAGTGCGGTGCTGCAGGGGAAAGTGTCACATGTGGTGGTTCGCGTGGCAGTTGGTGCGGTGGTTGGTGCGGTGGTAGGTGAGGCTGGGGTGGTGGTTGGTGCCGTGGTAGGTGTGATGTGGTGGTTAGTGCCATGGTAGGTTTGATTGGTCTGGTGGTTGGTGCGGTGATTAGTGTGGTGGTAGGTGCAGTGGTAGGTGTGGTTGGTGCGGTGGTTGGTGCAGTGGTAGGTGTGGTTGATGCGGTGGTAGGTGTTGTTGGTACGGTGGTTGGTGCAGTGGTTGGTGCGGTGATTAGTGTGGTGGTTGGTGCGGTGGTAGGTGTGGTTGGTGCAGTGGTTGGCGTGGTTGGTGCGGTGGTAGGTGTGGCTGCTGCGATGCTGCCGCGTCTTGCCTGGTGTGTGGGCGAGGCGAGGGTGCAGCACTTCCATCGCTGGAAGACGTCGGCCAGGCGGTCGAGTCCTCCGCAGTGAAAGTGGAAAACCTTGTACTGACTCTCTCGGCTCGCGATCACAAAGTGCCCACTCGAGCCACCCTCCTCGCTGGGCAGTGGCACACGGGGATCGGTGGCACGCGGGGTTCAGTGGCACACAAGAGGCGGGGTCACAACGAGACGATGTATTGACCCTCCCGAATCGTAATCACAGTCGTCTCCACTAGAGCTGCCCTGCTAGCTGAGTTAGTGTCAAATGGGGACCAGTCCATTGGCATGTGGGGATAAGTGTCAGACTGGGAGTCATGTCACGTGGGGAAAGTGTCACATGGAGACTAATGGGGCCCATTCTCACAGGGGAACCAGTGTATTTTATAATATTATTTTATTATATATATATTTTATATTAATTTAAATTTCATTTTTTACCTACGTGACTTTACCGAAAGAACTAAGAGTATGGGAACCAGTGTGTTCATAAGGCCGGCACAGCACACAAGGGCGTGGGGTGGCCAACACAATGCCTGGCCGCCTTTGTCTCCCCAGCGCTGATGTTAACACAACGCTTCGGGCACTCATTTAAGGCCGCGCGACTTTTTGCCCGCTTGCCGATTAATCTATCAGTTTCCAAACCTGTGCCAATAACGGGTTTACTCGCCACCTGCAAAACCTAAAGAATCATGATAACAGGGTTTTCCCCTTTTGTGTGAAGTGCTACAAGCCCGGCGACGTCAGTGAGCCCCTCACCTGAAAAACAGCCGCAGCGACCTCATGTGACCGAGGTCGACGCTGAACACCCCGTCCACTTGCTCCAGCGTTGACAGCTTTAGCCGCTCGTCCCAGCTCATCTCCCCGGGGCCCCCCTCAACTCCCCACCGAGCCCCCCAGCCGGGGTCCGTTTCCCAGGGGGCCCTGGGGGACACCTCCTCCTCCTCCCCGCGGGCCACACCGCCCCCTTCGCCCCGCCCATCGCCCCCCCGCTCAGATGGTGGCTGCCCCCTGTCCTCCTCGCACACCAGCAACGGAGGCACCCATTGGCTGCCGTCCTCCGCGATGGTGGCCAACGGGGTTGCCTTGTTATTGTTGCCATTGCTGTCCTTGCTGTCGCCGCGGGTAACGGGGAAGAGGTTGCCCTCCGATTGGCCGTTGGTAGGGCTCGGGAGGAAGCTGGGCTCCGATTGGCCGTTGCCGGGGCTCGGGAGGAAGCTGGGCTCCGATTGGCCGTTGCCGGGGGTGCTCAGTTGAATGGTCACATCTGATTGGCCGTTGCCAGGGCTCGGGAACAAGCCGGGCTCCGACTGGCTATCGCCAGGGGTGCTCAGCTGAATGGCCACGCCCGATTGGTTGGTGTCGGTGCTGGGTGGGCAGGAGAAGGAAGAGGCGGCGCTGGGCTGGACCAAGTCGGAGGAATTCTGGGAAGAGGTTGCCGTGGAGCTGGTTTCCTTGGAAACCGGGGACCCGTTGCATCCGGCAGACGAGACCGAGGTCAAAAGGCAATCGCTGAGAGACAGAAAAATCACACACGACCAGACTCGATTACTTTCTTTGCAATTTTATCTCCAAAACAACGTCCAAGGGGGTTCATCGCGGCTGTGTCAGAAACGCGGCGCTGGCACCGCCAGGCAGTGCCAGCTCCGCTCTCGGCGCTGTGACCTCGAAGCCACACGGGCGCCACGACCCCAAACACCACTCTTAAACAGAACACAAACTCACGGCACGCCGCACCCTTCACAAAAATATCGAACTTCTCCTCCCTCTGCTCATTTCTCTTCCATCATCTCTTTCCCAAAGTTCTGCCGGCTCCGCTGCTGCACGTGGCCGCTGCCCCTAACCCAGCACTGAAGTGGAGGCAGCAGCAGCAGCAGCGATGGGTTGGCGGATCACCGCACAGATGGGCTGCGAAACTCCCTTCTACCCGTGGATGGGCTCGCCAGGAGAAGGCGGTAGAGCGAGTGAACTGATTGCAATTTATCTTCTTGGTTCTTTCGGTAAAGTCACGTAGAAGGGAAATAATAAAATAACAAAAATAAAACATAGTAAAATAATTGTATTATTTTATTATATTAAAATAATAAAAACAAAACATAATAAAATAATGTAATATAATCAAATAATATATTAATTTTATTATGTTGTATAATTATTATTTTATTATTTCCCTTCTACGTGACTTTACCGAAAGAACCAAGAAGATGAATCCCTGCAGTCACGAAAGCTTTAAATCGAAATTTGATCGCAATTTGTTTCCAACTGCCTTGCCCCCTTGCGCAAGGCGTGGGGATTTCTCCACGTGCTCCGGTTTCCTCCCACACAGATCGTAATAAACACTCACTCACTGGCTGAAAACATCTGAAAATAAAACTCCCAATGCAGGACCCTCGTGAAATTCATAGGGGATTCATAGGTATGTATTATTATGATAACCTGTCCCAATTCAAGAGACATGTCAACCCTTATTATATTGCACCTCCAAAAGTGCTGTTTGTTCCTGGCCAATTGGTATTGGTGGTAATTAGGTTGAAGTTGCTCAGCAACCGTGGTTTTCAAAAATATATTAAATCCACTGCTGGATGAATGCCTCCCCGTGCCGGGTCGGAGGAGACTTCCCCATACTGCTGGACATCTGTAAAAAAAGAGCTTCACAACTTATCGGATTCCTCCAGGAGAAATAAAGATTCTGAATAAAGATTCTGAACCTGGGTTCCAGACACCATGCGCCACTGATGCCAACCATGCCCAGGAATCAAGAAAAATAAAAAAGTTCGGCGCTAAAACGTGAAGACGGGCCTGTAGTGCGATGCGCTGGATAAAGATGCACGATGCGCGACGCACCCATGCGGCCCGGGGTGACTCGCTCCGCACGCCTCCGCCACGGAGGGGGGGTCCTGGCCGTGGGAGGCGTGGGCCCCGTGAGCGGGGGGCCGCTCCAGCGAGCCCCCTGGCAGCGACAGCGAGGAGGAGAGGCGGTCGGGCCGCACGGGGCCGTGCGTTGGACTGCACTCTCCGACCGTGTGTCGCCTCTTGTTGCTGTCGCACACAAACAAAGACAAAGATTCCCCCGTGTAGCCTTTCACCAGCATCGGAGCAGGTGCTGTTAGCGAGTAGAAGGCCGGAACGGCACACGAGGTGGGTGGCCCGCACGATGCCCGGCCGCCTTTGTCTCTCCCCTCCCCCACCCCCTCCTCACCTGGTGAGCGTGGCAGACCCCCGTCTCACGGGCGAGCTCTCGGGGGTGACGTAGCGAAGCGCCTCCTCGTCCTCGCGCTCGATGCGAGCGTTGGGGACCCAGGTGAGCAGCAGGGAGCCCCCTCCGCCCCCCCAGCCCTCGTCAAACTCCACGCACAGGTAGCCTACGCGGGGAGGGCGGGATGGGGGGGGGGGCAGCAGTCACACACACGCACGCATGCACGCATGCACGCACGCGCACGGTGCGCGTACCGTTTCATTCCGCACCAAGTCAAACGTTTCGCTCCGCTTGCCAGGGAGCTTCTTCAGGGGGCCGAACTGAATTCGGAAGAAGCTCCCGGGCACTCGAATTGAAACGTCGGACTTCGCGGAGATCATCTCGTGCGCAGGAACTAAAGGTCGCCATTGCATCGTGGGATGGAAGCGGCTCTGGGAGGCCTTCATCCAGCAGTGGATAAATCACGTGCGATGATGACGATGATTGATGGTTGCAAGAGTGAAGCAAGGGCGCTGCTATGTTGTGCCAGGCCCTGTGAACCTGCCCAACCCTGTAACAGGTAAATTAAAACGACAACAGAAGTTCTGGGAAGAAACAGGTAATACAACACCTGTGATTATTTTATTTTAATTTACCTTCTGTTTACCCGAACTTTATACCTTGGGGCGTGGAGCGCCGTGCTATGAACCCGGCGACCCGTGTTTCATTTCTGGCCATGATTGACATTAGTGGAAAATATTTGAACTGGTCCTGGGCATCCCCCAGGTTGACTCAGCCTCAAAAGAGTACCGTACTTAGTGGGGTGTGTAAACATCGCCACTCGGGAGACAAAGGACGGACGGGGGCGGTGCTGGCCACCCACCCCCTCGTGTGCCGTGCCGGCCTTCATAGGTGCTGGCTAACAGCACTTGCCCCATCATTCTGTTAAGGCTACACGGTGGATCCTTGCATTTGTCTTTTGCACAGTTGGCAGGAGGGAATCCAGGTGGTGTATCTGCCAGTCGTCTCTAACCCATAACACCGGGGTGTGTCCTGTTACCTCCTGCCAGCAGCGAGCCACTTAGTCGCGATTGGCGGCTGTTATTGTTGCTGTTATAGTGAAACCACACAGACCCGGGTATGTCAGCATGCTTCCATTGTGTGCACGTGCATAAATGTATCCATGTGTATGTACGTACACCGTGTGCGTGTAATGGCACGCTACTCGGTAGAGTAACTTGTGTGTGTAAGTATGTGCGTACGTGTACATATCTATTGTATGCATGTGCGCGGTTACAACCCACTTGGGTAATATAGCTCGCGTTACATGTGTGTGTGTGTCTCCATGTGTGCACGTGTTTGCACGTGTGTTCACACACACACCTGGGTAGTGCATCTCTCCCCCTACTTGTGTGTGTGTGCACGCATTCACAACAAAGAAAAATATCTCCCGTATAACTTTTAACATGACTTATTGAGGCAAGTGCTGTTAGCGAGCACCAATGAAGGCCGGCACGGCACACAAGAGGCTGGGTGGCCAGCACCACACCCTTTGTCTCCCGAGTGGCCATGTTTAGACACCACGCCAGGTTTTCATTTGGGGGCGAGTTGACCGAGGAGAGACCCAGGACCAGTTGAGGTAATCGTCACTAGTGTTTGTGGTTGCGAGCGAGAATCAAACTCGGGTCGCAGTGCGCTAACCACCGCACCGCCGCTGATCACACGTGCGTGCAACAACAACAACCGCCGTTCACCATACAGTGGCGGTGACGTCATCACGGTCTCGTGTCATGCGAGGTCAACTTTGAGGCCACGTCAAGTGTCCAAGGCCCGTTGGCAGGAGGTCACGGAACAGACCAGGTGCCATGAATTGACTGAGATGACTGGCAGAAGCACCAACTGTGCTCCCTACTAGGCAAAGCTTTCTGCGTTATAGCCACCGAGCGCTCTGCAAGGACAAAGATCCCCCGTATAGTCTTAACAGACTGTAGGAGAAAGTGCTACTACATTTCGATTTAAAGCTTTCGTGACTGCAGGGATTCATCTTCTTGGTTCTTTCGGTAAAGTCACGTAGAAGGGAAGTAATAAAACAATAATAATAAAACATTGTTTTACTATGTTTTATTTTTATTATTTTATTACTTCCCTTCTACGTGACTTTACCGAAAGAACCAAGAAGATGAAAAGTGCTACTAGCGAGCAACTAAGAAGGCTGGCTTGGCATACAAGCGGGGTGAGTTTCCAGCACCACACCCGGCCGCCTTTGTCTCCCGAGTTGGGATGTTTAAACACCGCACCAGGTCGACCTACGGAAGGCCCAGGACCTGTTCAGATAATCGTCACCGGTGACGGCCGTGAGCGGGAAACGAAGCCGCGTCACCAAGATTCGTAGAGCCGCGAACCACTGCGCTACCGCTAACTGCTGCGCTACCGCAAACACGCGGGCCACGCTCTCTCACCGGGGTAGTGCAGCTCCTGGCCGGCATGCACGCCCTCCGTGGGGTGGACGCAGACATTGTTCTTGGAGAAGACGATCTCCCCGCCGCGTGCTCCGCGCGCCGCCGCTGTTGCTCGCTGCGGCGACAGCAGCTCCGACGCGTGGCGGAAAATGCGCCCCAGCGACATGGCCACCGTCACCGTGGCAGCGGCATTGCCGCCCGCGGCAACCGGCGGGGCGCTGCGGGAGGTCAGGTCAGGGGGGGAGAGGGAGGTCAGGGTTAGAGGTCAGCGGGATCCACCGGTCAAGTATATTGCCCGCGACGACACCAACGCTCGTTCTGTACGATAAGGACATGGGTCCTTGCCGATAGACATCTGGCGGTTTGGCAGCTCTGGATGAAGCGAGCCGTGCCCGACTGCTGACGAGACTCCGAATGTCGAAACTGCTCCAGAGTTTTATCGAACCGCCGCTGCTAGAAAACAATTACGAGGACAGTCCAACGTGGGGGAGAGGTTGAGTCATCGACTTAATTACTTTGCTTACTTATGTTCTCCGCTTCACTGGCACGAAATTATTATTCTATTTAAATGCCGTCGATTACGTTTGGTGTTGGTTAAAGTGGAATTAAGTACCAACAAAAAAAAATACAGTGCGCAGAGAATCGTGGAGAGAGAAAGAGAGACGTGCTTGCATTGCTTCTTTGACCTTTCTGTATCCCCGGGCCATTGTCAGTCGGTCAGTCAGTTTATTTCGGGTAAATGACATCATAATTATTACTTCAAGGTGTACCGCACACAGGAGAGGCTCACTCTCATACAGAGAGGACGACTTGGAGGCGACAGACGAGTGGGAAGGCAGCAGCAGCCGCTACGCGGTGAGCCGGTGCCAAATTCTCCCCCACCCCAAGCTCTGCAGTCCTCTATATATCAAGGTTTTTCACCGGCCAATTAATCAGTGTTTGCATGCGGGAGGAAACCGTAGCACCCGGAGAAAACCCACACGTGCGAGGGGGGAGACACTCTATCCTGCAGAGACGGTACACACGGAGTTCACATGTTTAGCTGAACCACCTTCCACAGGAAGGGAGTTGCACAACATTTTGTTGCAGTGATCCAACAACTCCCGCTGCTGCCTCCACAGCGCAAGATTACAGGCAGGAGCCACATGCTGCACAGCCACCACCACCACTAACCACCACCGCTACCAACCCGGCAAAGGCCCATTGAGCTAAACTGCTGTCTTTCAATGGCGACCCGTCAACCCTCAATTATTTTAAATCCTTTATATTAAGTTCACTTGCTTGCGCGCTTACGACCGTGCAAATCTTTCGGTCGTTTTTTAACCCACTTTCCGTGATACAATCGAGCTGGCATTTTGCACACAGAATCGTTGTGCGTGACAATTTATTTTCGTGAAAATTTTTTTCCAAAATTTTCCACTTTTTAGGAAAAAAGAAAATTTCACTAACACAATCATATATTGTTCCTAAACAAAGAAAATTATTCAAGAAAACAACAAAATGTACAATATAAACAATCATACAAAAACTGAAAACCTTATAACCCTTATATACGACTTTCCTTATATTTAATTTAAAATACCAATGTGATAAAAATGAAACTCTTACTCAAGAAAAACAGAAATGAATAATAAAATAAAACCGATGCCACGCATATAAAGGATTTATAGTGAAAAACTTTGTTTTTACGGGTTAATTTTTCTTCAGCTCAAACTCAGTGCCTCCTCCTCCTCCTCTTCTCACCGTGCCCCAGCATTGTGTGGGTCATGGGCGTCGGCTGAAACTTTCCCTGGGCGAGTCCCGTGGGGCCATCGTGGTGAGGCTCTCGCCCAGACTGGTTTTACCGGTTTGTTTCCCTCCCCACAGTCTCAGGCACCCCTTGAAGTTAAAGTTTAAATCGTCCGGCAGACAGCTGGCATTATGAGTTCTACTCCTCCTTGCACTGTCTCCAGACACTGTATATACCGACCGACAGTAAATGAAACGCGTAACACATTGGCGATGCTTGCTGCTGCGTTGGCAGCGGTGCACAAGCACAAATAACAAAAAAATGTCACATTCATCAGTGACATTGTGGACATACAAAAAAAAATATTTCAGGCGATGTTTTGCTAAATGTCCCTTCTTCAGAGCACATGAGGGAGGCCAGAGAGTTGGAGGCTGAATTATACACCACGGGGCCCTCATTATTAATTTCAAGAATGTTTAAAGATGAACAGTCTTAAATTCCCCCCCCCCCCCACTTCGGCATCACAGTATCTCACCAAAGCTCTCAGATGTAATTGGCATGAATTCTACAGGAGACCTCGCTGCCTATCTCTACACAAGTACTCATGAGGCTTTCATCTCAAAAATACGGACCATTTTAAGATCCTCATATCACTGCAAAAACACTTTTAAAGTGGAAAATCCCCCTCCGCCCCACCCCGACTCAAGACAAAAATGATGTCCAGCTCATCTTCTGTTTACAGCCCTGAGACAATGATAGAATATACTCTTTGGTTCTTTCGGTAAAGTAACGTATAAAGATAAAATAATAAATAAAAAATAGGAAACTATTAATTTATTATTTTATCTTTATACGTGACTTTACCGAAAGAACCAAAGAGTAATTCCTGAAGTCACGAAAGCTCCAAATTAAGAATGATAGAAGATGTCCCCGTTGCGATGACAGGGACGAGATCATCCACAGAACCACTGTTGACTTCCTTACAAAGTGTTAGGAATCATTTTATCGACCCCTAGAGGGATGATGATGATGGTGGGCTCAGTCGTCCCCCCACAAGCAGAATTTGGACGCGCAACCTTGCAATGACTGCTCACTCTACCCGCTGAGCCACCTTACCGGATGCATCTCTGTAAATATTATTCACCGAGCTTAAATATTTGGCCCGATTTCTTACGTGATCTGGTAACTGCCTCGACAAAAACTATCGGCAAACAAAATATTGTCTCGAGGTGGGAAGCTCGGGTTGGGTTGGCATGGAACGAACCCCGTGATTTTCTCCGTCCACTGCTGGATTAATTTTCCCGCCACACCATGCACGTGCTGACCGTAGGGATTGCTTGACTATGCTTCACCATGCCGGGCAATGTAGGCCGGTGAAAGTAGACGGGTCAAATATCACCGACTACTGATTTGAATTTAAAGGATGCTGGCTTAAAAAGTCCCAGCATCTCTAAGCACCTTTTTTGATGACATCCCATCTCAAGCATTACAATCATGCCCAGCTGTAAATCTATTATTCAGTTGTGGCCAACCGTGCTAATGGCACCTCCGATTAGCACGGTTGGCTACGTACAATGCGAAAGAAGTTCAACATACAGGGAATCCTCTACTTACGAACTTTCAGAGATACGAACAAACCCGTCCTATGTCCAGTTGCCTGTTCGGATCAAGAGTCGTAAGTTCGACCGCTGCACAATAGATGGCGGTGGTTGTTCGGTGTCAAGCACAGGCTTGTTTTGAGTCTCAGGACCCAAACACTGAAAGGTTTAGCAAGGTGTCGGCTATTGACTCTTACAAGTTGATTTATGGAGAAGAAGAAGAAGAGACCAACTGTGCAGACATCTCTTGGTAAGTTTTTCAAGAGAGTAGAGAGGAAACAGAAGCACCAAAGGGAATAATCATCTACATCTGCAGAACATGAAGAACCAGTGGCATCTAGATCTATAGGAGATTATAAACTTTTAAAGCCTTCCCCGTGTTTAGTGTACATGCCGTAAAACATGTTTGGAATGGACAGGAGTAAAGTTGAACTTACGAACAAATCGACTCACGAACAGACCTCTGGAACCTAACCCGTTCGTAAGTATAGGAGTCCCTGTACATACATACATTTTTTTTTTACTCGGGTTGCCGGGTTCGCAGTGCAGCGCGCTATCCACTTCGCCACCACTCCACTCCATGCTGGTGACGTGCCCCAGCGGTGGCGCCTTTACCACTCGCTGAAGAGGATCGCGGTTCGGATCCGGAGGCCGCCCCGATTAATACTGCGGTGCGTCTACCGTGTAAAATCACTGCAGAGGACGTTACAGATCTCGTGACGTCACTCACAAGCGGAAGCCATTGCACCGGAGTCGTGGTCCAAATTTGAAATATTACCCGCATTATTATTCCCTGACCCCACTAAATTTGAAATATTCCCCGCATATTACTCGTTTTTAATATAGACGGTGGCAATCATCGCCTGTCTGCCTCCCCCCCAAAAAAAACTTGGCAAGAACCTCCTGAAAAAGAGTCACGAGACACAGGGTTGGCTTTCTTGTGTAAACAGGCGTAATAATAGAATTACAAAAAATGTAGAGGCAATCGTCATCATCGGCCATGATAAATCGGCTGCTGGATGAAGGCCCGGCTAAGCCGTTGTCATTTCTCAACAGTGTTTTGCTTTAACAAGTCACAGAGCGCACGGGTCCACGACACTGGACTCACGACCTCTTTTCAGAGTCTCTGAATAAAGGGAGACGTGGGATTAATGAAGTATAAACTCGAGAACGGGAATGAGACAAGCTTTCAGATGTCCCCTCACCTGACCAATAGCTCCATCACACGAGCAAATCCCTGCTCACTTCGTCCCACCTGAGACCACGTGTTTAATCACGTGGTCATGCGTCTTCTCACCTGCTCACCTCGTCTCCTCACCTGACGTGTCTCATAGGAGCATCTGTCAGCTGATCTGGCCACGTGTCTTCTCACCTGCTCACCTCGTCCCACCTGAGACCACGTGTTTAATCACGTAACCACGTGTCTCCTCACCTGCTCATCTCGTCTTCTCACCTGACGTGTCTCATAGGAGCATCTGTCAGCTGACCTGGCCACGTGTCTTCTCACCTGCTCACCTCGTCCTACCTGAGACCACGTGTTTAATCACGTGGCCACGTGTCTTCTCACCTGCTCACCTCGTCTTCTTATCTGACGCGTCTCATAGGAGCATCTGTCAGCTGACCTGACCACGTGTCTCCTCACCTGCTCACCTCGTCTTCTCACCTGACGTGTCTCATAGGAGCATCTGTCAGCTGACCTGGCCACGTGTCTTCTCACCTGCTCACCTCGTCCCATCTGACCACGTGTTCTCCTCACCTCATCTCCTTATCTGATCACCCGTCTCCTCACCTGAGCACGTAACTCCTCAGCTGACCACGTGTCCTCCTCACCTCACAATTGTCTGTCTACTTCACCTTTATAGACCAAAAATGACGGCGATTATATTACGATGACTTACGGCACAGCAGTACAACACACCACAGCACACTCAATGAACAGCTAAACGCGCGTTTAACAGCAACAAAAACAACGACCCACAACATCAATCGGGCAATTCAAGTGACACGGAACCACTCACCCACAGCAACGTGCATCACCATCATCAACTCAAGCGGCAGTAGCTACGATCACATTACACGCCAGGGGCAGGCAAGGCAAGGCAAGGCAGGCAGGCAGGGCAAACACGCTCGCCCCGTGGCTCGCCAACCAATACAGCTTTTTATCTCTTTTCGACACACATTCATCAATGACAACAACAACAAAAAAGTAACCTTTTTGTTAACAAAAATCGTCACAATGCGTCGATAAGTGAATAAAGATACATACGGCTACAGACGAAACCGCCCGGCCGCTCGCTGTCCGGTGTTCGAGGTATACGTGGCCACGGGTTCCGAGGGTGGGTGGCAACGAAACGCGTTTTTGTTTACCTCGGCGAGGATTGACCCCCGCCAGCCGCCGTAGAAGCGCCGCGTCACTGCCCCGCCCCCGCCTCTTCCCTCCCCTCCCCCATGCCTATCCGCTCTAGGAAATACGGTGCGAGCGCGCGATTGGATATCGTAGCTACGATAAGTGGGCCCGAGGATTGACGTCATTGAGTGGGCGCGGTGCGGCTGGTGTGTGACGTCACACTGGTTTGGGGGGGGAGGGTGTAGACACGTGTGGGTGGGCGATTTCGATTGTTGTAGAACAGGGTTCGGGAACCTTTTTGACTGGGAAAGCCATAAAAGCCAAATATTTTTAAATATATTTCATTGAGAGCCATATAGTATTTTTAACGTATAATAAATTAAATATGTCTTACTTTTAATGCGACTCCTGGTGCTGCATGGTTTTGCTGATGGCCTTGTAGTCTGGTTCATACGTGGTGAGGTTGAGCTTCATGCAGACGTGACCCGTGAAATGTATCTTCAAAACTAATTTCTGTTTACTTTAAAATGACACAGTATTATTAAGCAATATCACAAGTATTTTAAAATCAGTTCCAAACTGATTTTTATTTATTTTTTCAACTCAAAATTGTCTGGGAGCCATATGCCGTCACTGGAAGAGCCATATATGGCTCGCGAGCCATAGGTTCCCGACCGCTGTTGTAGAATCTTAATTTAGACTGCAGAGGTAGGAATCCGATAAGCTATAAGTTGTCTTGTGGTTGTTGTTGGTTATTTGACTTGCATCCCACTGGGATTTTTGCACACAGCGTTGGTGTACGGTGTGTTTTTCTGCAATATTTTGCTGTCTTTTTTTGGATTTTCTGTTTGCCCTCAGTCACATATTCACTTTAAGATGTTTTTTTGTTCATGTTTTTGTTTTTTGTTTGTTGCGGTTGCACCCGATTCAAGAGCCGAATGGCTCACAGGGCTAAACCTAATAAATGAACTTGAACTTATGTCCGTACGGTAGGGGCGCGGGAGTCAGCGAGTTGCATCAACAATTAAAACACATAAAAAGTGCAACATCCAGAACAACACCGGTGTGTGTTGTACTTAGTAACAAATTGGCCACGTTCTGTTTACGTGATAAACCTTACTAGTTGGCTGTGTCGGGTGGTGGCGGGTTTAACGATGCATTTATATTTTCGCGATCTAACCCTAAAACCTCTTATGGATAGAGAAAAGGGTAAGCAAGTCACTAAAAGTAAATCAATTTTTTATTTGTAAACACCAAATGCAAGCTCGGAGCAAGGCAGCAAATTTCACACTTAACTTCAAATTTAGCAACCTTTGGAGATCGTAATCAACCAGGTTATGCGTTAGCTGTGCGTTAGCCGACTCTCTGTGTTGCATTACATTACAATTCCCAAAATATTTGCTAAATTTAGTTTTATCAGACTATTTCTCTCTCTACAATTTACCAGGCTATCGTAGGGCCATTCCATCTTCTTTCCATCGGTCGCTTCGGGGTGGATTCATTGGCATGCTAATTTCTATTGAAAGCTTTCGTGACTGCAGGGATTCATATTCTTGGTTATTTCGGTAAAGTTACGTAGAAGGGAAATAATTTTATTATTTTATTATTTCACTTCTACGTGACTTTACCGAAAGAACCAAGAATATTCTAATTTCTCTGCTCCAGCAGTTGCCCCAGCAGACCCACCTCTCTCTCTACCCCCCTCTCTCTCTAAGGCCTCCACACAGAGGCATTGGGTCTCTGTGTGTCTGTGTGTCTCTCTCTGCTTGTGTGTCTCCGTGTCTGTGTTTTGTCTCTCTCTCAAATTTAGTTCTACCTGATGACGGTTGCTTGTGTTGCAATCGAAACGCCGTACTCTATTATTTAATTTATTTTCTTTCTACATGACTTTACCGAAAGAACCAAAGAGTAACAACAAAGACAGTCCCAGGACCACACCAAGACACTGCAATTACAATGCACATTAAAACTGAACTATATCGATACACTGGCAAGGTTCAAAGTTACACAGATCACGAAACGTTGATATGAAATTGAAACGTCGTGAGAATTTTATTTTTTCATATTTTTCTTATTTTATTGTTTACCTTCTACGTGACTTTACCGAAAGAACCAAGAATATGAAATTAATCTTTCAATTTAAAGCTTTCGTGACTGCAGGGATTCATATTCTTGATTCTTTCGGTAAAGTCACATAGAAGGGAAATATTAAAATAAATAAAAACCGCTAGTTGCTGTCCGTGGTGCTAACGTTAAGAAAAAAACCGCTACTTCTTTCAAATGTTCGTGCTGTGGTTTTCACACCTGATGATGGTTGCTTGAGTTGCAATCAAAACGTCGTGAGAATTTTATTGCTTTATTTTTATTATTTTATTACTTCCCTTCTACGTGACTTTACCGAAAGAACCAAGAATATGAAATTGATCAATGAGTGATTGTATAATAATTTACATTTATTTGTAAGGCGCCTTCCACTGTCTCAATGCGCCTTGTAAGATTAAGGAAAGGACAAGAGGGGAGAGCTAAATAGAATAAACTAACTTAAGAAAAAGTGTTTTTAGACGCGACTTAAAAGTATCCACAAGTATCCACATTGTCGGTGATACGAATTTCTACCGGTCGGGAATTCCACAACCAAGGCGCAAACGCAGCAAATATTTCCGTTTGCTGCGTTGGCGGTGGTGGACAAACAACATTAACCAAAATGACACGCTCGCCACGTGCGCCGTTCCTCGAAATCTCTTTGCTACTCGAGTATCTGCGACGTCAGAATGTACCCGCTGCCGGAAACTTAAACTTAATTTCGCCTACAAAGGGCCGCGTCCATAAATGACGTCACGCGATTTTGGACGATTTTGGACCCCCCCCCCTCGTCCGTCACACGGCGTCACAACAAGTCAGACCCCCCCCCCCCTCAAATATGACGTCACAAAGCTCTGCCCCCCCCCAAATAAAACATGATTCAAACCGCGCAAATATGCCCGACTGTGAGGGTGGGCACAAGCCGGCGTGAGTAGGTTAAACGTTGAGTTTTATAAGGGCACCACGGGGTGACCAGCCCCTCCCCACCCAGCCCCTCCCCACCCTCCCCACCCAGCCCCTCCCACCCTCCCCACCCAGCCCCACCCTCCCCACCTAGCCCCACCCCTCCCCACCCAGCCCCTCCCTACCCGACGGACGGACACAATAATCCCCTGTGGGCTGGTGGAACCAGTGGGTTCCTACCAGTATAAATCTCTCTGATTATTTGTCGTTTAGCTCCTGAGCATATTGCCCATCAGACTACGATTAAACGCACTTGCATGCTTAATTGGACTACAAAATACAACCCACTTTCGCTTAGCAACCTCCCTTTAAATTTCGATTTAAAGCTTTCGTGACTGCAGGGATCCATCTTCTTGGTTCTTTCGGCAAAGTCACGTAGAAGGGAAATAATAAAATTTAAAAAAATAAAACATCATAAAATAATTCTCGCGACGTTTCGGCCACAACGCAAGCATCCGTCTGCTTGCGTTGTGGCATCCGTCTGCTTGCGTTGTGGCCGAAATGTTGTGAGAATTCGTCCTCACCTGAGGACGGCTGCTTGCGTTGTGGCCGAAACGTCGTGAGAATTATTTTATTATGTTTATTATTTTATTATTTCCCTTCTACGTGACTTTGCCGAAAAATAATAGTAGGTTTTTACCCTTTTAACTGGTACAAAACTGACACCTTTATTCAAGGCATCATGTTTGCAATGACCACAACACAAGTAGTCAAAAAAGCAAACAAAAAGAAGCAACTCTGATAAGGATGATAATATGCACTGTCCTTGAAGTTGATTGGCCCACACCCGAGACGGCTTTCTTTAGAGCCTAGTCCCCATTGGTGTAGGGCCAGATGACACCAGAAGGCGTACAACTCAAACACAGTGCAATATCAGAGTATTGAGAGCTCAAACCAAGAAGACGAACCTCCCTTTAATAAACACGTGGCTTCTCCCCCCTCATCGTCACAGCCCCGCCCCTCGCACCCTCGCCCTTGTAGCCCCGCCCCTTGCCGCCGTGGCCCTGCCCCTTATTCGCCGTCGTCACGTGACAGCGCGACCGGTGGTCTCCTAGCAACGCCGACTCTCTTCAACCGGGGCCAGCCATCGAGTGTGAGTCATAAAGGTTCTCTCCTATTATTAATATTGCAGAGTATATGTACTCTATTGTATGTGTGTATATATATACGAAGCAATTAAACATCATAACAAATGTGTGTACGTTGTAATTGTACTTGACCGCGACGCGTGTTTGACTTTACGAAGCTGTGTTGTTACGGAGGCTCAAGGCGCAGCCCTGCAAGTGCTCGCTCGGGCTCCTGCTGGCGGTTAGGGCCTCCGCTCGAGCGAGGGGGGGTACTTTGGCCTACTCTTCCACTGCTGGCGCACCCTGCCCATCATAGACTCAATGTGGATGTGTGGCCCCGTGGACAGAGCCAGCTATGGCTGCAGGGTTTGGTGGTACAAGTTGTTTGTGTCGTTTATTGTGAAAATTCGGTCACAGTTCCTATGCTTTTATGGCTTTATTTTGGTGATTTCGAAAAGTTGTGTTTGTTGTAGTACGGAGTTAGACTGATGGCTTTGATCTAAGTTGTCTTGTGGTTGTTGTTGTTGTTTGACTTGCATCCCACTGGGATTTGTGCACACAGCGTTGGTGTACGGTGCTTTTTCTGCAATATTTTTGCTGTCTTTTCTTGGATTTTCAGTTTGCACCTAGTCACATATTCACTTTAAGATGTTTTAGTTTTTTGTTTGTTGCGGTTGCACCCAATTCAAGAGCCGAATGGCTCACAGGGCTTTACCAAATAAATGAAACTGAAAAAACTGAAAATGAAGAGGTGGGCGGAGGGGCGGATGTGACGAATCTTGCAACACTGCTTCTTCACCTGCCGCACCGGGAGATCGAATCGGTGATCTCTGGATTTGGAAGTCCGGTGTGCTCATCATTGCTGGACTCCAGAAAAAATGTTGTTTACTTTGCGAGTTAGGCGTGCGCGTACCGTGTCAGCCCACACGGTTTTACCCCGTATTTTTGACCAGCGAAATTAAGTTTTCAGGTCCATACGGCGTACAGCCGTTTCAATGGGGCAACATTTATTGCGTCTATTTGTTTGTTTCTTCCTTGTGATGGTGACTTTGCAGGATGAACGTTGAGATTTCTAAGGGCACGGGGTGACCAATAAGGTCTGAATTGACCTGTTGTATATAATAAATAGGATGCACTGATAAGGGGTTGACAGGTACGCGTGCGTGTGTGGGTGTTGTCCGTTATGTCACCTGGCACAGGTACCGTGGTGACGTCACTGTCGGTATTATGTTACCTGCGTTTCTCTAATCTGGAGGTCGATTGTTGCAGGTGAGTGGCCGAGACATCGCGGCTCACAACATGGACCAGCCGGGGGCTGAGGACGGGGAGCGAATGGTGAGCTCGGACATCGGCCGTGAGTTGGCGGTGGAGGTGCTGTTGGTCAGCGAGGGTGGACCTTGAATTGCAAACGTGAAGTTTCCATCATTGGGGCTCAGAAATGCCAATGGGTCAGTACATCCATCCTCCACTAACCCGCGCTGACCAAAGTGGTGAAGTACGGTCGAACGACCTCCTGCGACTGGCGTGGCATTAAAAGGCCTTCATCCGGAAAAGGGCTGCTTAATTTGCGATTAAAACATAGTAAATACATTTATGTACAGCTTGATTTCGGCTGGATCTGCCTGGATCTGCCTGGATCTGCCTGGGTCGTTGTGAAAAAGAGCTTTATAGCTCGTCGGATTCCTCCAGTCTCAATAAATATTCTGATTTCACTGCCACCTCCTGGCTCTACGAGTGATGCGATAAAACAACATTAAATGCGATATGAATCCCTGCGTGTGTGTGTGCATGTGTGCACTCGCTAACACCACTTTCCCCAACAGCCTCCAACAGTCTGTTAAGGCTATACGGGGGATCTTTGTACGTATGTTTTTATTTTGTACGCACGTGTGGCAGGGCGATGTAGAGACGGAGCCCAGTGGCACTGGCGAGTGGTCAGCCGGCGCGTCAGCGGGGAGCCGCTCACATCCTCGCTCCCACGCCAGCTCGGAGCAGAGCAGCCAAGACCGGCGCCCAGCCAGCGCCGCCGCTGCCCGCACCTCCACCTCCACTCTAGGTGACACCGCTAGCGGCCTGCCTCAATCTTGTTTCCATGAGAACGTTGAGCTTGACTTGGAGGGGCGCCACAGTGGCGAGATGTTAACTACCTCACCTGGTATACAGCAGGTCGTGGGGTCGATCCCGACCCTGACGCCTGTATATTTGGAGTTTTCATGTCTCTCTCCCTGTGGTCGCGTGGATTTTTTTTCTGGGTCCGCCAGTTTTCCCCCCCTAAATTTAGAAACATTCGTTTAGAGTATTTAGCTGCTATAACTTTCCACTTTAATAAGCAATTTCCTTGAGCTATCACTTATGGCCAGGTCCTTTCTGAAAAGTAGCTATGTAGCTCAGTGGGCCTTACCTGGTGAATGCAGAGGTCAGAGGCACTGAACCAGCACCACTGAGACCCTGGGTTGAGTCCGAGTTGACAGCCGCCTAACCATGATTAAACCAAATGATCAAGTGTAGTGGGTTGATGGTTTCAGCCTGGTCACCAATGACCTACACAGAGACCCATTGACTTATGTAGATAAACAGACCTGCGTAGAGGTTAATTGACTTATATAGACATTCACACATATACAGTCAAACACTCTTTTCCCATCTCTGGGTCTGACCAAAAAAAACATTCCTGTGGAGGGAGCTGGTAGGAACGTTGGGTTGCTTGGTCAATGGCCAAGGTCAACGGCGGCGTGGTGTATTCTGCAAATATGGCCGACTGTGAGGGCAGGCAAAAGCCGGTGTGAGTAGGTTAAACGTTGAGTTTTATAAGGGCACCACGGGGTGACCAGCCCCTCCCCACCCAGCCCCATCCCTGCCACCCCCCACCCAGCCCCACCCTCCCCACCCAGCCCCTCCCAACCCTTCCCTCCCGACCCAGCCCCTCCCCCCCTCCCCACCCTCCCCTCTCCACCCAGCCCCACTCCTCCCATTTTTGGATGCACGACGAACGGACGGACGGACACAATAATCCCCTGTGGGCTGGTGGAACCAGGAGGTTCCTACCAGTATAAAGAGTATATCTCCGTCCGTCAACCCTGCCCACTTTTACAAAGCCACACCCACTCGATCGCTATCACCGCCCCCCCTCCACAGCGAGTGGCACTGCTCTGAGGCCCCGCCCACTGCTCAAGTAGCCCCGCCCTTAACTTGTATCCTGCCTTGCACATTTTGATTATTGCCGTTACACTTGTTTGCCCAGGAAAGCCTCACTCTCATAACTCTTCTTTAGGAGGGTCCTGCCAAAGTTTTTAGTAGAAGTGTGATTTTACAACCACAAATTACTTTGGCGGAGGTGGAGAGCGGGATGGACCTTTTGAAAACCGGGACTGTCCCGCCTGTAAAACCCACACACCACGTCTCCCTTTTCTAGGCGGACCGGAGGGAGTTACGGAGGTCGGAGGTCACGTTGACAGCGATGACAGCGATGACGAGGACCAGGAGGACGCGTGGCGGAACGCAGCGACCTCCTCCGCCATCGCCGCCGCTGTCGCCACCGCCACCGCCGATGACGATGATGATGATGACAATTATGAAGAACAGGGAGGATGGGAGAAGCCCGGGGATCCGTCGGGGGGAGGAGAAAGAGAGGAGGGAGGAGAGGGGGACAGACGTGGGGACGAAGGCTCGGAGCGAGGAGGGAGTGATGCGGAGGACGACCTTGTTGTGCTCGACCCGGATCACGTGGGTGTCGCTCCTGTTGGCTCACACGCACACCTCTTGTCCACTAGGGGGAGCATAGTACAGTACAGGAAGTCTTTGTTTAATGCGGAAGTAGATGTGCTCCTGAAAGTTCCGCGCTAAGCGAAAAACGCGTGAAGCGAAAACAATTTCCCCATAAATGATGTAACGATAAAGTTTGCCGAGATGCGATGTACTATTACGCACAGTGAGAAGGCGGGACAAATAACTGAGGGGACGCCGTCGCGTTACTGTATTATTCCGCATACTGTATCACTGTACTGCTCAGCCGAGCAGCTCAAGAAAGGAGTACGTTGTCGACCACTCAGATACTGCGTTATAAACAGTGGCATTCTGCGTTATAAACAGTGGCGTTCTGCGTTATAAACAGTGGCGTTCTGCGTTATAAACAGTGGCGTTCTGCGTTATAAACAGTGGCGTTCTGCGTTATAAACAGTGGCGTTCTGCGTTATAAACAGTGGCGTTCTGCGTTATAAACAGTGGCGTTCTGCGTTATAAACAGTGGTGTTCTGCGTTATTAACAGTGGCGTTCTGCGTTATAGCAACGGGCGCGTTCGTTGTTGCGCAAAAAGTGTTCCCTTTGGGAAGTACCGCGTTATAGCGAAAACACGTTGTGCAAACACCGCGGGTTAAGCGTTGACTTACCGTAAAACGTTTGATTTCGCTGCACTCGCTTAAGATTTGCCCACGACAAATCTTATTTTACAACCGGACAACGCGTGTCCACCCCGTGCCCCCAAGTGCCGCGACCCGGCGAACTAACGGCATCGAACCAACGCTTGTGTTTCTCCGTGGCAGCCGCTCATGAAACGCTTCCAAGTGGCGCTGAAGAAGCACCTCGTGAAGCAACTGGAACGCGCCGACCTCGAGGCCAAGGAGCTGGTGAGAGCGACGAGGAGACTGGCACTGAGTGTGACGCCGTGATTCATATTGTTGTTGATGCTTTCCAGAAAATGTTTAAAGAAAGCTTTCATTAATTAGCTCTGTCCGTTCATATGTAACCTACCTGCCCACCTGGATACCTATATACCCACTCACCTCCCTACATATAAACTGCCCCACCTACATATCTATCTCACATGCCCACATACCTACCTGCCTGGAAACCTATACACTAGGGTGGTTATAATCAGTTTTTCTGCATTACCAGTAACCACAGGGAATACAAAACGGTAAAAACGGCTTTGCCGTCCTCCCATCGCAGCGCGAGGTCCTGCGCAAGCGGCGCTCGGAGCGGGAGGAGGTGGGCGTCACGCTGTACGGGGCGCAGCAGGAGCTGGCGCGCCAGCAGCAGCGCCTGGAGACGCAGCAGGAGCAGCGGTCGAGCCTGGCCGCCCGGCGCCGTCGCGAGGAGGAGGAGCTGGAGGCGACGCGCGGCCTGCACAAGGCTCAGCTCGACGCGGTCAACCAACAGCGCAAGCAGGGTGCGGTGCATCCACCACCCCCCCCCGCCCCAGCCCGTCGCTTCGACTGGCGCTCGTAAAGGCCGATGATGATGATGGTGGCGTTGGAGACGTTGCTGATGATAGCAGCACTGTAATGTCACAGCAGAGATCCGAACCGAAAGCAAGAAACCAGGATTAGCCGCTTATTTTTGAACGGCCGAATTTTAAATGATATTTGGTGTTCTGAATTTGGTTATTAACTTTAACCAGTTTTAAAAATTTTTAATTTTTAATTACCACTTTGTTAGCTGGGCTGTTAAAAGCGAAATTGACCGTGATCCCACTTGAATCATCGCTGCTGCTGCCCCTTCCCCCCTCCCCCCTGCCCTCCCACAGTGGCGAGCGTGCAGGCGGAGGTGGAGCGCGTGGCGCTGGCCGTGCTGTACGCGCAGGAGGCCGAGCGCGACGTCTCCGGGGACGTGGCCGTGCTCAAGAGAGCCGCACAGAAGGCCGACCTCGAGAAATATCAGACGGAGGAGATCAAGATGAAGCAGGTGCATGGGGGGAGGGGTCAGGGGGGGCACGCAGGGGTACAGCTCCTCCAGACTCTGCGTTCATCCGTTGGCCCCGAGACACTTTGAGGCACACAAAGGGGGTGGCGTGGTCAGCACCACGCACGGCCGCCTTTGTCTCTCCCCAAACAGCAAAAAACTAATTTCGATTTAAAGCTTTCGTGACTGCAGGGATTCATCTTCTTGGTTCTTTCGGTAAAGTCACGTAGAAGGGAAATAATGAAATAATAAAAATAAAACATAAAATTCGATTCTCACGACGTTTCGGCCACAACGAAAGCAGCCGTCCTCAGGTGAAGAACAGGGCTGTCGGAAAGACTCATTCAGACGCTGTCTTTCCGACAACCCTGTTCTTCACTCATTCAGACGCTGTCTTTCCGACAGCCCTGTTCTTCACCTGAGGACGGCTGCTTGCGTTGTGGCCGAAACGTCGTGAGAATTGTATTTTATTATGTTTTATTTTTATTATTTTATTATTTCCCTTCTATGTGACTTTACCGAAAGAACCAAGAAGAGCAAAAAGCAATATCCGCCATTCACCACTAAGTGGCGATGACGTCAGGACAGCGTCTGTGCGAGGCTCGGTGCGCTTTGAGACCACGTGAAGCATCGAAGGCTCATTGGCATGAGGCCACTGGACAGACAAAGCTGTTATTTTGATTTCAAGCTTTCGTGACTGCAGGGATTCATATTCTTGGTTTTTTCGGTAAAGCCACGGAGAAGGGAAACATTAAAATAATAAAAATGTAAAACAATAATTAAAACTAATTAAAACAATTATTGTTTCATATTTTTAGTATTTTATTGTTTCCCTTTACGTGACTTTACCGAAAGAACCAAGAATATAAAAACCTGTTATTGGTTGACCGACTGGGATGAGCACTTCGCTGTATTTTAGCCATCGCTCGTTATTGTGAGCATTGCACCTCCGCACTCTGTTCTTATTAGAGGGCGGGTGCGTCCAACTGACCAGTAGCGTCCTTCACGAGCCTCCTCCATACAGACATGGCCGTTATAGCCACCACCGTCACAATAACCACCAATATCAGTGACGAGTTTAGATCTAGACTTCCGAGAATCATCCCGTTCAATCGATTACAATCGTGGGCTAGGCCACGTAATGATCCGGCCAGATTTGTGTCATGGAGGCTCTCCACCATCCAGCCAAACAAAGTGAAAGGAGCTTAACGACACTCATTATGAATCACGATCCTGGCCGAGAAACGCCACGCGTGAAGCTGACTCGTTGAATTACGCTCACGATGAATGCCGAGTGAAGTATACTGGATGTGGTGTGCACACACCTAACAATAGGTGGGGGTGGTTTAATTTTATTTGTATGTTTTTGGACGATTTGTTCGCCTTTCCTGTACTTTGCACTACTGTTGTGTTTTTGTAATATTTGTTGTTGTAACATTCTTACCCGCCCCGACTGAACATGTGTGAAAACGAGCTTTATTGCTGATCGGGTTTCTCCAATATAAATAGTCTGATTCTGAATAACCATCTTCCTCTTTGCGCACCTCCCGCCCCCCCGACCAGGACATGCACGTGGAGCGACTGACGCGGCAGGCAGACGCGACGCAGGAGCGCATCGCGATGCTGGAGGCTCAGCTGAGCGCACAGGCCCAGGACACCCAGGCGGCACGGGCCGGCGCGGCAGAGGTTTGCCACGGAGCGGACCCGCGCGTGTGTTGCGATGAGAGGCAGGGAGAGGCTGATGGTGGATGGGGTGAGGGTTAGCGTCTCGGAGTCTGGGTGGTTGGTTCGCTCGTGCGGTGAGGATTCGAGTTAGTGTTAAGGCCTAGGAGCAAGCACGAGTGTTGGAATTCGGGATGCGATTGGTGATTTCTCGCACCTCCGATTAGCACGGTTGGCTACGTACGGCGCAATAGAAGTTCAAAATACATACATACAGGGTTAGGGATAGGGTTTGGACTAGGGTCTGATTGGTTAGTGTGGGTAGGATGAGGGAGAGCGTTTGAGTTGGAGCAGACGCACAAACACGTGCGCACACGGCGTTTGTAACGTACCACCGTTCCGTCTCCAGTCCGCGTTCCCTCATGCCGGCGCTGCAGGTGTGCAAAGGTCCCCCGTATAGCCTTAACAGCCTATAGTGGCAAGTGCTGTTAGCAAGCACCTATTAAGACCGGCACGGCATACGGGGGGTGGTTGGCCATGCACCACACCCCAAGTGGCGTTGTTTACACACCGCACCAGGTACTCATTTAAGGCTGAGTCGACCTAGGGGAGTCCCAGGACCAGTTCAGATAAACATCACTGGCGTTGACCGTGAGCGGGAATCAAACTCGGGTCGCTGGGTTCGTAGTGCAGTGCAACAGTCTGTTAAAAGGTTTACGGGGAACCTTTGTCTTACAAACATTCATACACAAACCCGCACGCGCACACACGCACACGAGCGTGCGACGTTCCTAACGCGTACTCTGGTCTGCGGGTGCCTCTGGTCGGCGTCGCAGGCTCGCGCGGAGATCGATGCGATCGTGTTGGAGAAGCGCCAGCTGCTGCAGCACTGGAACGCGACGCTGCAGGGGCTGAGACGGCGCGACGAGGCCCACGCCGCCATGCAGGAGGCGCTCGCGTGAGTGGCGTCCAGCGCTGGCGTCGCACAAGCGGCACCGTCGCTCAGGGCCCAAACAGAAAATGTTATCCTAAACGCAGTGGTCACGCCTTGCGGCAAGAAGAGCCAAGGTTTCAGTCCCAACTGAGGCGGCGTTCTCTGTGGAGTTTGTATGCACTCTCTCCCCCTGTTTTGCAGAGTGTGAGTGAGTGCGTGTGCACGAGTGTGGGGAGGGGCAGTGTCGTTAACACACTGCACTAGGAACCAGGCGACAGGAGTTTGATTCTCGCTCATGGCCAACGCCAGTGATGATTATCTGAATAGGTCCTGGGCCTTCCCTAGGTCGCCTCAAATAAGTACCTGGTGTGGTGTGAAAACATCGCCACTGGGGAGACAAAGGCGGTCGGGCGTGGTACTGGCCACCCACGCCCTCGTGTGCCACACCCACACAATTACACCAACATGTATGTCATGTTGAACTTCTTTCGCACTCTACGTAACCAACCGTACTAATCGGAGGTGCGGGGGGAAGGACAACAAACTAAACACAAAAAACCGTTCTAAGGACATTGCTTTTCAATCTACATTAAACAAAAAATCACATCGCCGATCGTAAACCAGCTCCCGATTGCCGTGCGGCCGCAGCGAGTCCCGGCGGGAGGCGCTGTCGGCCGACACGGAGCTGAGCAACTACAAGCGCCTGATCCGCAAGGAGGAGGAGCGCCACGGGGCGCTCACCGTGGTGCTGCACCGCGCCGATGCCGAGGTGGCTGGCGTGCGCCGCCTCACCGCACAGTGCCAGGAGCAGCAGGAGGCCCTGCGTGCCGACTACGCCACGTACGCGCGCACGCTGCAAGAGACGGAGGTGGCCCTGGCACGCGCCGTCAACGTGAGTGCAGCGAGCGCGCGTGCGGGCAGTCATCCTCCAGCAACAACGGAGGGCAAAGGAGCGACGCTCACGACAACCAGCGAAAGTGCTCATGGGCTAAAATGCAGCAAGTTGGCATGGCAGGGGGCACAGCTGGTGCAGCTGCCCAGTCATCTCTTTCAGTCAACCCATGGCATCTGGGTCTGTCCCGTGACCTACTGCCAGCAGCGAGCCTTCGGCACTTCACGTGGCCTCAAAGTAAACCTGGTCTTCACCGTCACTTAGTGGCAAATGGCCGTGGTGGCGCGTGTCCGCCGATCGTCGGCGTTGGCGGAGGTTTCGCGGTTCGAATCCAGCGGCAGCCTCCCAGTTAATACCGCAGTGCGTGCAATTACTGTACCGCGCGCCGTCTGCTTCGCTTCACAGCGGATGTTAAGGGTCTCGCAGTGCGACGACGTTTCGCAGGAGTAGGTGTCGTGTCGCCAAGTAAAAAAAAAATGATAATTGCAATAATTAATCATAAATAACAATACATACCCGCATGCACACATGCACGGGCACATCCACGCTCACATCCACGCTCACACGCTGGGCGACGCCCGCATCCTAACGCTACTCTTTTTCCTGCCTCGCTTTCTCGCCCCGCTCCTCTTCCTCGCTCTTTCGCCCTGCTCTCTCCCCTCCCGTTCTCCCCCCCCCCCGCCCCCCCGGTGTAGGAGCGTGGCGCGCGGGAGAGCGAGCTGACGGTGCTGCGCTCTCGCTGGGAGCGCGAGCACGCGGCGCGCTCGGCCCTGGAGGACGCCATCATGGAGACACTCCGGGAGCAGCTGACACGTGACAAGGCGGCGCTCTACTCCAAGAAGCTCGTGGACAAGATGCGCGCGCGCAAGAAGGAGCTGGTGCGCCTCATGTGAAACTCCGGGGCGCTCGGGGGGGCGGGGCGGAGCTAATGAACAGGGGGCGTTGCGGGCAGGAGGGGGGGGGAGCAAAGAAACGGTGGACCCCACGAAGGATGTTGTGCGTAACGTCGTTGTGGCAGTGTGTCGTCGTGTGTTAGAATTGTGTCGTCGTGTGGTGGCTTTGTGTCGTCACGTCGCTATGGCATGCTGGGGCTGTGTCGTGGCGTATGCCATTGTGTCACCGTGTTGTGGCGTTGTGTCGCCGTGTTGTGGCGTTGTGTTGTTGTGTTGTGGCGTTGTGTTGTTGTGTCACCGTGTTGTGGCGCTGTGTTTTTGTGTTGTGGCGCCGTGTGTTGTTGTGTCACCGTGTTGTGGCGCTGTGTTTTTGTGTTGTGGCGTTGTGTTGTTGTGTTGTGGCGTTGTGTTGTGTCACCGTGTTGTGGCGTTGTGTTGTTGTGTTGTGGCGCCGTGTGTTGTTGTGTCACCGTGTTGTGGCGCTGTGTTGTGTTGTGTTGTGGCGCCGTGTTGTGTCGTGGTGTTTTGTCACTGTGTTGTTGCGTCATCATTTTAAGTTCCTAAAAGCAAGGAGGCCGTGTGGCTCAGGCACTCAGAGGGCCGAGCCGACACCGCTGAGAGCTTGGGTTCGAATCTCGGCAGAATTAAGGTGATCGGTTATCATCATAGATTTTTGTGTTTACGACGACACTCGATGATTTGACCAAACGAGCATCAATGAAACCTTCCACCACCCGACACGGCCGGGCAACCTCACGTGTCGCGTCCCCGACAAGGCTGCGAGCCTCCGTATGCGTGCCACACTGCCGGTGCCCGCGTCGTCGCAATCTAAGGAGAGGTGTCGTTGACGTCCGGACTGATGGCGCCCTCCCCCCCCCCCCGCGCATGCGCGGCCACAGGAGCTGGACGTGGCGCGGGCGGAGAACGAGCTGGCGCGTGCCGCGCTGGCCGTCACGCAGGCCGGCGCCCGCGAGGCCTCGCGCGCCCGCGCGCTGGCGGCGGCCGAGGAGGAGGTGCGGGCCCAGGAGGCCCTGGTGGCGCGGGCGGAGGCGGAGGCGGCGCGGCGCACGGCCCTCATCGCGCGCAAGCAGGCGCTCGTCGACCTCAACAACAAGAAGGTGGAGCAGCTGGTGGCCAGTGCCGGGGTGAGTGCGGGCGGACGGGCGGGCGGGCGGCGAAGGGATGGAAGAGAGGTGAGGGTACAAGGGTGAGGAGTGGGGTGAGAGGCGGGAAAAGATGAGAGAGGGGGGAAGGAAGAGAAGGAAGAGGAGCGTTGGGAGGGGTGACGGGTGAGGAGAGAGGAGGGTGGGGAGGATGGAGAACGGAACGAGGATGATGGCGATGGAAGGGGGGTGAGGGTAGAAGGGAGAGGCGAGGGGAGAGGGACGAGGAGAGTTGGAAGAGAGGAAAAACGAAACAATTTGATGGAAGAAATGTGGGCGCAGGAGAGGTGTGAGAGATGAGAGGAGAGAGGATGGTAGGAGAAGAGAGGTAAGTCTGTTGGGGCGAGGAGTGAAGGGTGATGGGAGAGAGGTGACGGAACAGCGCTGAGCGGAGAGAAGTGAGGAGAGGGAAAGGGTGAGCGTAGGAGGATGAGGGGGGGGAGGGTGGCGTGCGAGTGGAGGCTCGCGTCCATTTACCGGCGTGAAGTCTGCGGAGCTGCCTGCTCGTGCGAGCGCCGTGAGGGAGGCGTCATGCCTGCCGGTGCGATGTCACACCTGTTCGCTTGCTCGCTCGCGCGTACCTGACGCCAAGCTCACACCCACTCGTGCAGGAGATCACACCTGCCGGCGAGTGCACTTGTTAGCTGTTCACACGTTCGTGCGGCAGCTTGTGTGCGTGCCAACGCGCGTTTGCGTGTGTGCGTGCTCGCACGCGCGCGCACACGCGTGGGGAGCGGCAGCCGCCAACACCACCAGTGACAATTATTTGAACCGGTCCTGGGCATCCCGTAGGTCGACTCGGCCTCAAATAAGTACCTGGCACGGTGTGTAAACATCAACCACACCGTTCTTCGTAGGCGCTGCCTATCAGCTGTGGCCCGGATGACTACACGGTGGGGGGGGGGGCGTCTTTTTGTGTGTGTTCGTCTCGCCAGGGCGTGGAGCTGGGGCCCCTGGAGCTCCACATCAAGGAGCTGCGTCGCCAGCTCGCGGAGCGGCGGGCCCAGTCCACCGAGCTGCAGGCGCAGTGGCTGCGTGCGCAGGGCGAGCTGGTGCGGGAGAGCCGTGAGCGCGAGGAGCTGGCGCGCACCGTCGCCGCGCTGCGCCAGCGCCTCACCATCCTGCTCCAGCGCAAGCTGCGCGTCGAGGGTGCGTGCGGGGGATAAGGAGCGGTGGGGATTTTTTTTTTTACATCCGTCGGCAGTTGTTGTTACGGTTCAAACGCACCGCGGTGATATCCGGGGCGGCCTGCTGGTTTCGAACCGCGAACTTCTGCAACGAGCGGCAAACGCCCTACCGCCGGGATATAAAAAAGGACGAGAATTCCCCTATGTAGCCTTAACAGACTGTTGGGGCAAGTTGCTGTGGACGAGCACCTCTGAGGGCCGACACGGCACAAGAGAGTGTGCAGCACCATGCCCGTCCGACCTTTGTCTGCCTTGTGGCGCTGTTTACTACGCACTGCAGCAGGTACTCACTACCCCCCCCTCCAACTCACCAACAAACACGTTGTTGTGAAAGACCCAACGTAGAAGATCCCTGTGCTTGATCTTCCACGAAGCTTATGGTCCACCCAAAATCACATCCGCACAAACCACGGCAGATGCGGATACACGGTGCACAAATGTACAATTAGAAACTGTGTTCATCCAGAACAGACCGTACAACGTGTAACGATGCAATGCCCACAAATACGAAGGAGACATCACAGCGGTGCAATTGTCTGGGCTTGACCACTTGAATGTGAAATTGTAGTTGTCGCTCTGCATCTACGTCAGCCATGAGAACGACCCACCCCCCACCCCCCACCGACAGGCGAGGTCGTGCAGCAGCAGCGCGGAGTGCGGGACACGGAGCGGTGCACGGCGGCGCTGCACCACTCGCTGGAGCGCCTGTGCTCGCTGCTGGAGCGCGAGCGCAGCACGCGGAGCGGCCTGCAGGCGGGGGGGGCGCTGCTGGAGGGGGAGGTGGTGGGGGTCCTGCGCGAGGCCGAACGCGACGCCGTGCACCTCGCCGAACGCCTGCAGGAGCTGCGCGACGACAAGGGCAGGCTGCTGTCGGCGCTGCTGCAGGCCGAGTGAGCGCACGGTGATGGCTGTGACGATGACGGCAATGGTGAAGATGATGGCGATGATGATGATGGCGATGATGATGATGGCGATGATGGCGATGATGGCGATGATGGCGATGATGGCGATGATAGCGATAATGATGATGATGGCGATGATGATGATGGCTATGATAATGATGGCGATGATGATGATGATGATGGCGATGATGATGATGATGGCGATGATGGCGATGATAGCGATAATGATGATCGCTATGATAATGATGGCGATGATGATCACGTTGATGGCACTGGTGATTATGATGGCGGTGATGACTTAAGACAAGGGCAGGCTGCTGTCGGCGCTGCTGCAGGCCGAGTGAGCGCACGGTGATGGCTGTGACGATGACGGCAATGGTGAAGATGATGGCGGTGATGATGATGGCGATGATGATGACGATGATGGCGATGATAGCGATGATGGCGATGATAGCGATGATGATGACGATGACGGCAATGATGAAGATGGCGATGATGATGATGACGATGATGATAATGATGAAGATGATGGCGATGATAATTATAATAATGATGATGATGGCGATGATAGCGATAATGATGATGGCTATGATAATGATGATGGCGATGATGATGACGTTGATGGCAATGATGATGACGTTGATGGCAATGGTGATTATGATGGCGGTGATGACTTAAGACAAGGGCAGGCCTATGTAGCTCAGTGGCCCTTGGTAAAATAAAAAATAGTTTTAAAATAGTTTGAACAGTTCATGCGGACGGATCTCTGCGTTTGTCTGCACGGTGCCCAGGGAGCAGATCCTGCTGTGGGAGCGCCG